CCAGAGTTCAAGCCCCACAACTGGGGGTGGGGGAGGAGGGGAAGAACTTACTCTTTGTTAAGATAATTTAATTAGACATCTAGGTACATATGTATGAATATATGTGGCCAAGGGAATGAAGGGCATTCCACATAGCTTAGTAAAGTAATACTGAAGAACTTAGCCTTTGCTAATGCTAAATGGATAATGAATGATGAACTAGGCAGACAACTGTTGCCCTTGTATAACAGATTTTTGTGTGGAAGAAAAACAAAGCCTATGAGCAAATAAATATGTAGTATAAAGTTGACAGTAATGAATACCTTGAAGAAGTATATAGAGAGGTTGTAGGTGTTATGTTTCTTTTTTTTTTTTTGGTCCGGTCTTGGGGCTTGAACTCTGGGCCTGGGCGCTATCCCTCAGCTGTTCAACTCAAGGCTAGCGCTCTACCACTGGAGCCACAGCGCCACTTCCAGCTTTTTTCTTATGTGGTGCTAGGGAATCGAACCCAGGGCCTCATGCATGCAAGGCAAGCGCTCTACCACTGAGCCACCTTCCCAGCCTCCTGTAGGTGTTATGTTTCATAGCATCTCAGGAGATACTATGAGCAAGAACCTCCCTCATGAGAGAAGGGCATGAACCACGTCACATTTCAAGCTCCCATGTGGTGGGAGCACTAGTGCAGTTGAGTCAGGAACACACTGGGCAAGTGTGACTTTTCAGTGTTAATCTTTTTTTTTTTTCAGTCGTTATTTTTTTCAGTTGTGGGGCTTGAACTCTGGGCCTGGGCGCTGTCCCTCAGCTCTTCAGCTCAAGGCTAGCGCTCTACCACTTGAGCTACAGTGCCATTTCTAAGTGTGACTGTTTTCAGTTAAGATGCAGATAATTCTTTTTAAATGACTAGTTAAACATAACTAAGAGCCTCATTAAGAATTCTACTTGCCAGTTTTTCTCTGGATTCATAGCAATTACTGGTTTGATATGGGCACTTAAGAGGGACATAAGCCTCAGGGCTGCTTTTCCTTGTCTTCCAGGATCCTGGCCTAGAAACATGGCTGCAAATGAAACAGCCTAAGGGGAAACGAATAACATTTAGTCCACTGTATCCAGTGACTAGATCCCTAACAGTAAAGCCATGTGACAGTTGTAATGAGAGTCCTTTGTGCTCTGTGAAAATACATGATTATTCACTTAACCATAGTCTGGAGCTGATGTTAATTAAAGCTACTAAATTAAGTGACTTTGGGAAGTCAGTCATTTATCACTGGATTAAAATAGAGGTCTTTGACAGAGAATACTAAGAACGAATCTAGTAGAGAATTGCAAGAAAAGAAATGGGTTTTTCTTATTTACATCTTGTGTAGGGTCCTGCTGAGCCCAGTTGTACCACTAAAAGCCATCCGACTCTTACCTTGGTATGTAGGTAGAGTCAATAGGTGCCTGGTAGGCTTTATAAACAAAGCAGGCTACAGCTCAGGTTAGAACAGATTGAATACATGGAATCTGCAAGTAAGATCAAGGGTAATGTATTTGTGTAACGGGTTTGTTCTTTCATATATACTGAACTTCTGCTCTGCCGCATCCTGTTTTATCACCATCCGTAATAGTGAACATGACAGACAAGGTCCTCACTTTGAGGACTTATAGTCTGGTGAATAATGTGAATGAAGTAATGAAGGCTGTGATGAATGCAGTATATAATTAAGAGTATTTAAAAGGTGCTCACCACTTACAGAAGAAATTAATTTGGATTCTTTCCCACTAAACATGTGTTCTGTTGACTTTTACTTCTCTTCTGAATTGTGACATTTTAGTCAGGATTCTGTAGCTTTTTGTTCTTATTATTTATTTTCTTTTTCCCTCCATCCTGTTCTCCTTTCTCCCCCCACCCCCTCACCTTTTTTCCTTGTTATTAAGGCTTCCAGTTAGTCTCAAATTCCCGAAGTGGTTCTTCCACCTTGGTCTCATCCATACTGTGATAACAGATATTTGTCGCTGCACCCCAACTTTATGGTCCTTTTAAAAGTGTTGATGGGGCTGGGAATGTGGCTTAGTGGTAGAGTGCTTGCCTAGAATATGTGAAGCCCTGGGTTTGATTCCTCAGTACCACATAAACAGGAAAAAGCTGTAAGTGGCGCTATGGCTCAAGTGGTAGAGTACAAGCCTTGAGCAAAAGTGCTCGGGGACAGTGCCCAGGCCCTGAGTTCAAGCCCCAGGACTGACAAAAGAACAATAATTTTTTTTTTTTAAAGGCTCTGCTTAGACAATAAAATTTCAATCCCAACTGGGCGCTGGGGGCTTATCCCTGTAATCCTCGCTACTGAGGAGGATGAGATCTGAGGCTCACAGTTCAGAGACTGACTGGGCAGGAATGTCCGTGAGACTCTTATCTCCAATTAATCACAGAAAAAACAAAGTAGCACTGTGGATCCGGTGGTAGAGTACTAGCCTTGAGCAGATGGGGCTCAATGAAAAGGTCCAGGCCCAGAGTTCAAGCCCCAGACTAGGCGGAAAAAAATTCAATCCCTGCATGGGAGGATGGAAGGATAACAATTGGAGACTAGTCTGGGAAAAAGATAAAAAGACCTTGTCTCAAAAGATAAACTGAGTATAGTGGTACACATTTGTAATTCCAGTTAATTCCTACCGAATCCAGCTCCAGGCAAAAAGCATCAGACCCTATCAGAAAAATAAAAATTAAAGCAAAATGGGTTGGTGGCTCACACTTGTAATCCTAGCTACTCAGGAATCTGAGATCTGAGGATTGCTTTCCAAAGCCAGCCCAGGCAGGAAAGTTCATGAGACTCTGTATCTCCAGTAAACCACTAGAAGACTGAAGTGGTGCTGTGGCTCAAGTGTTAAGAGTGCTAGCCTTGAGCTGACAACTGAAAGACAGCATCCAGGCCCAGAGTTCAAGCCCCACAACTGGCCAAAAAAAAAAGGATTGGAGGTATCACTGAAGTGATGGAGCACTTGCCTGCCAGGAGCCTGAATTCAAACCCCAGTACCACCAGAAAGAAAAAAATAAAAATTCAAACCCATAACCGCCCAAAGCTTTTCTTTTGCCACTTTAGACCTTGGCCCTGCATGTATAGGATCAAGGGTGTTTTTCTTAGGTTTGAAAAGGCTTTTCTGAGGTGGCATTCTGAGTCTGATGAGGTTGGCATATTTAAGGAACACCTTAAAAGCTTTGTGTGGCATGGGAAGGAAAGAAGTCTAGCATGGCCAGAACATAGAATTGCCAGTATTCAAATATTTACTGTAGTTTTGTGGTTCTTTTGGTCAATTACTATTGGCAGATGTGGTTTTAAAAATCACATAACTTAGACACTAGGGGCTCATAAACAATATGGGAACCCACACATTCAAATAGCTGACCCTTGCAATTTACACAAAACATCTAAAGTATGTAAATAGATTTCCTTTGTGAAGCTTATTATAGGAGTATAATAAAAGGTAATCTATGATTAATAACTTCATAGAAGGAACATTTAAAAAATTGTGTTCAGAATGTTTTGGGCAAGAGAAAATATAGAGACTAAAAATGTCTTTTTAAAAAAATTCTGTGGATACTGTTACTTCTTGCCCTTCCTCCAACTTCCTTTTCACCCTAACTTATTTGAAAAAAAAAAATTATATAGACTTTTTGTTATTTCCTAACTATTACATTATGACTTTATGTAGCATTTATAGTATTTAAATAATCTAGAGATATGTAGGTGATAGGAAAATACTATGCCATTTTATATAAGGGGATTATATAAGCATTAACATTTTGCAATATGTGGATATCTTGTGGATACTAAGGGATGACTACTTTTTTGTGACCAGCTTAAGAAAACTACAAAATAAGAGTCTAACTCCCCATAAGACTGCCCTTCACTCCTAGTACCAACCAGAAAGGCTCATAGAATTTACTGAAAGCAGTTAAAATGATTGTTACTGTTTCTTGTATAGAAAGGATTAAAAAATCAACCACAAGAAGAGATGCATAGGGCAGGGCAGTCTAGAAGGGTTCCAAACACTGCAGCTTCTGTTGTCTCCTGCCCGTGTAATTAGCACACATTCTCTTCTGGCATCAATGTGTGGCACTGTGCTTGGCTTTAGCCAGCTTTCACTGTTGAGGTTTTTTGTTGTTGTTGCTTTGGTTTTTTTGGATTTTTTTTTGGTTTTTTGGGGGCAGTCCTGGGGCTTGAACTCAGGGCCTGGGCATGATCCCTGAGCTTCTTTTGCTCTACCACTTGAGCCACAGCACCACTTCCAGCTTTTTCTGTTTATGTGGTACTGAGGAATAAAACCTAGGGCTTCCAGCATGCTAGGCAAGCACTCTACCTCTTAAGTCAACATTCTGAGCTCTTCACTGTGGAGTCTTAGGAACTTCACAGAGGCATGGTTGATTGTGCACACAGATAATTTCAGTATCCAGGTTGATTGATATTTATGACTCAAAGACACCCTCCCTCCCCCAACCTGAATCACATTTTTGATCTTTCTGAATTGGCTTATTCCCTCTTTAAGACCATATAGATATAGCTCCTCACCTTTCTAAATCACATCACTAGTCTATTTAGTGTGATCTAGTGTGATCCAAGACTCAGGGATTATGTAATCTTCCAGATGCCAAGAGAAAAGGCCAGACCTCTGGGACAAGGAAAAATTCTTCATTACATACTTGTGTACATTTGATTTCTCCTGCTCCCTTTCCCCTCCCACCCTCTTCCCTTCCACCTCCACTTCTACCTCTTCCTCTCTGCTTTTCTCTCTGGGCCTCATGAATAGTAGGCAAATGCTTCACTTGGAGCCTGCACTAATGGTAGACAGCCCCACTTTTTTTCCTAATACACTTTCTCTTTTATGCTTCCTCTGATTCCTTGATGGAAGATAAAGCCTATAGGCATTCCACATGGAAAACTTTTTTTCCAGTTGGAGTTCTTTGTTATGATGAATGTCTCTTAAGAAAAAAAATGACACTGTCAATTTAACTGCATTTAAATTAAAGTATTTTATCTTTTCTCTTTAAGAATAAGGGTTCTCTTCAGTTTGAAGACAAATGGGATTTCATGCGTCCTATTGTTTTGAAGCTTTTACGCCAGGAATCTGTTACAAAACAGCAGTGGTTTGATCTATTTTCGTGAGTAATCCATTAATTTCATTTACTAACATAAAGCAATTTTTCTTTTTGGTGTCTTTTGGTTCCCAAATAGACTGTGTGACTGGATGGTGTGTTTACCTGTTTAAAATTGTTGCTATTTGCCGGGCGCTGGTGGCTCACGCCTGTAATCCTAGCTACTCAGGAGGCTGAGATCTGAGGATTTCGGTTCAAAGCCAGCCCGGGCAGGAAAGACCGTGAGACTCCTATCTCCAGTAAACCACCAGAAAACCGGAAGTGGCGCCCTCCTTGAGCTGAAGAGCTGAGGGACAGCGCTCAGGCCCAGAGTTCAAGCCCCATGACCGACAAAAAAAAATGGTTGCTATTTGTATTGGGAGTCCTCAAGACCTCATAGGATCAGTGGATTTTCTAGGTGACTTGTAACGCTGAATAGCTAGTCACACTAATTTATTATGTTGAAAGGATACAAAACCAGCCAAGAGAAAAGGCGCAGGGTGAACTTCGGGTGTTTGAGGCGGGGGAAATAGTCACAAATTTCATGGCATTTTTGCTCAAGGCTGGGACTTTACCACTTGAGCCACAGCTCTACTTCTGGCATTTTGCTGGATAATTGGAGATAAGAGTCTGGTGGACCCTCCTGCTTAGACTGATTTCACACTTCCATCCTCAGATCTTAGTCTCCTGAGTTGCTTGGATTATTAGATGTGAGCTACCAGTGCTTGGTGACATGCCATGCCTTTTTTTTTTTTTTTTTGGGTCGGTCCTGGGCCTTTAATTCTGGGCCTGGACGCTGTCCCTCAGCTCTTCAGTTCAAGGTAAGCACTCTACCACCTGAGCCATAGTGCCACTTCCAGTTTTCTAGTGGTTCATTGGAGATAAGAGTCTCATGGCCTTTCCTGCCCGGGCTGGCTTTGAACTGTGATCCTCAGGTCTCAGCCTCCTGAGTAGCTAGGATTACAGGTATGAGCCACCAACGCCCGGTAGTGACATGCCTTTATGAAGAAATTTTATATAATATATAGCAAAGAATTAAGGAGAAAAATAATAAAAACAAAAATAGAAAGTTGTATCTGTGAGATAACTCACAAAGTGCTTGATTTCTATTTTTTGAGCAGTACTGGAGTTTGAACTCCGGGTCTGGTGCTTGAAGGTAAGTAGGTGCTTTACCAAATGAGCCAGGCTCTAGTCTTTTTTGCATTATTTTTGGGCGAAGGTCTTGCATTTATTGCCCTAGGTAGGCCAAACTTGGGTCACAGTCTCTTTCCTATGCTTCCTATTTAGCTGGGATTATAGGCATATACCACTCTGACCAGCTTGTTTGTTGAGGTAGTAGTCTTGATAACTTTTTTTTTCCTGGACATGAGGCTTGAACTCTGGGCCTGGCGCTGTCCCTCAGCTCTTCAGCTCAATGCAAGCACTCTACCACTTCCAGTTTTCTGGTGGCTTATTGGAGATAAGAGTTTCATGGGGGGGCTGGGAAGGTGGCTCAATAGTAGAGTGCTTGCCTCACATGCATGAGGCCCTGGGTTCGATTCCTCAGCCCCACATAAACAGAAAAAGAGTTTCTTGGGCTTTCCTGCCCCGGTTAGCTTTGAACTATGATCCTCAGATCTCAGCTTCCTGAGTAGCTAGGATTATAGGCGTGAGCCACCAGTCTTGGCAGTCTTGCTAACTTTTGTCAATCAAAGTTCTTCTGATTGCCTTCTGAATAACTGGGATTATAGGGGTGAGCCATTAAGCTCAACTGAGTGCTTCATTCTTATTAATGGATTCAGATACTTTTAACTTAATTCATGGAGACTGTACTAACAGAATTTAAGATGAGTTTTGTTCAATTACTGATGATTTTTACATGCTTTATTTTTTACAGGGATGTTCATGCTGTCTGTCTCTGGGATGATAAAGGTCCAGGAAAAATTCATCAGGCTTTAAAAGAAGATATCCTTGAGTTTATTAAGCAAGCACAGGCAGTAAGTCAGCATTTTGGATTGCTGCTGTTTCTTTCTCTTTTTTTCTTCTTCCTTTTTTGGAGCTAGCTATTGAACCTAGGACCTCATATACATACTTATTAGGAGCTTCACTCTTAGCTTTAGATTGGTTTTAAAAATGCTCAGACAATAACGTATTTTATGAGTCTGAGGATAGAACTTCCTGAAGTACTTTTAAGTATCACATTGACTTTTGACACATTTGTTAGATTTTAAAATTATTAGATGTAGAATTTTTGTCAACAGAATACATGGTCATCCTCAGTTAAAAATGCTCATCTTTTTTTTTTTTTTTTTTTTGGGTCCAGTCGTGGGGCCTGAACTCTGGGCCTGGTCGCTCTCCCTCAGCTCTTTAGCTCAAGGCTAGCGCTCTACCACTTGAGCCACAGCGCCACTTCCGGCTTTTTTCTTTTTGCTTATGTGGTGCTAAGGAATATAACTCAGGGCCTCAGGCAGGCAAGGCAATGCTCTACCACTGAGCCACCTTCCCAGACCCAAAAAAGCTCATCTTTTAGCAGGTTATAACACACATCTGTTTTTTTCCTCTCATAAATAATAGCTTTCCTCAAGTTGATGGTAATTTTTTCAATTTCAGATACTTCTCTGATTGTAAAATCTTGGCTAGCCAACCTGAAGTTAGTGCTCTTGTGTTGATACTGTATATAAATCCTTAAGTTTATTAAACTTGAATACAGGGCTGGGAAGGTGGCTCAGTGGTAGAGTGCTTACCTTGCATGCCTGAGGCCCTGAGTTCGACTCCTCAGCACCACATAAGCAAAAAGAAAAAAGCCGGAAGTGGTGCTGTGGCTCAAGTGGTAGAGTGCTAGCCTTGAGCTGAAGAGCTGAAGGACAGCGCCCAGGCCCAGAGTTCAGGCCCCACGACTGGACCAAAAAAAAAACAAAAAAACAAAAAAAAAAAAACTTGAATACAAACCTCATTTAGACATTTGGTCACATAGACATTAGCTTTTTGGTTTTTTTCACAGTTGTGGAGCTTAAACTCAGGGTTTTTGGGCTTTGTCCCTAAGCTTTTTTATTTAAGACTATTATTCTGTCACTTTGACCCATAGTAACATTTCCAGTTTTCTAGTGGTTAATTAGAGATAAGAGTCTAATGGACTTTTCTGCCCAGGTTGGCTTTGAACCATGATTTTCAGATCTCAGCCTTGTGAGTAGCTAGGATTACAGGTTTGAGCCACTAGCTTGTGGCAACAGTTTGTTTTTTTATTGTTACTTTTTTATTAATAGTCTGTCTTTTGGAAAGAAATAATGCAAAAATTAAAATACATTATTTTGAAACAGTAATACATGGTATTGCCCATGAAAATGAGTTCCTTACCACTTTATGAAGGAACCTAAGAGCATGAGATTATTTCCCTTTGTAATAATGTGAAGTGTGAAAGTAGAGGGCTAGAATTTCCTTTTTAGTTAAATTTTTAGGTCCATGTCATATACATTAGTAAAAGCTGTTTGTTAAAGATGTTAAAAATAGGAAGTAGTGCTGTGGCTCAGAGTGGTAGAGCACTAAGTTTAAGCCCGATTACCAACAAAAAAACCCCATAAAACCTAAAAACGTTAAATATTGCTGGTAACTGGTAGTTCATTATTGTAATTCTAGTTACGTAGGAGGCTGAGATCTGAGGATCATGGTTTGAAGCAAGTCTGCAGAAAAGTCCTGGAGACTTTAATCTCCGATTAGCCAGCAAAAAAGCTGGATTTGAGATGTGGTTCAATTGATAGAGGACCACTTTTTTTTTTCTCTCCAGTCTTAGGGCTTAAACTCAGGACCTAGGCACTGTCCCTGAGCTTCTTTTTTTTGTTTTTTTTGTTTTTTTGGGTCCGGTCGTGGGGCCTGAACTCTGGGCCTGGGCGCTGTCCCTCAGCTCTTCAGCTCAAGGCTAGCGCTCTACACTTGAGCCACAGCGCCACTTCCGGGGTTTTTTTTTTTTTTGCTTATGTGGTGCTGAGGAATCGAACCCAGGGCCTCTGGCATGCAAGGCAAGCGCTCTACCACTGAGCCACCTTCCCAGCCCCTCCCTGAGCTTCTTTGGCTCAAGGTTAACACTGTACCACTTTAGCCACAGCACCACTTCCAGCTTTTTCTATTTATGTGGTACTGAGGAATCAAACCTCAGGGCTTCAAGCATGTTAGCAAGCATTCTACCACTAAGCTACATTCCCAGCCCCAGAGAACCAGATTTGAGTGAAAAACCCAAAGGAGAGCACAAGGCCCTGAGTTCAAACCCCAGTAAAAGGACAAAGTGTAAATATTGTTAGCGCAGTATTTATGTTCATACATAATTATATGGTTTATACCTATAATTAATGCTACTTAGGCAGAGGTCCAAGAATAGTAGTTTGAGGCTAGCCCAGGCAAAGTTCACCAGACCCTAATTTCAACAAAAAATTCAGAGCACAATGATGTACATTTGTCATCCTAGCTGTGGTAGGAAGCATAAATAGGATTGTGATCCAGGCTGACCTGGCACAAAATGAGGCTTTATTTAAAAATAAAGCAAAAAGGACTGGGGGTGTTGCTCAGCTGGTAGGTAGATCACTTGTATAGCAAGTTTGAGACTAGTACCACTTAAAAAAAGATAAGTTTACTGCCTGGGAATTTGGCTTAATGGTAGAGTGCTTGCCTAGCATGCATGAAGCCCTGGGTTCAATTCCTCAGTATCACATAAACAGAAAAAGCTGGAAGTGATGCTGTGGCACAAGTGGTAGACTAACCTTGAACAAAAGAAGCTCAGGGACAGTTCCCAGGCCCTGAGTTCAAGCACCTTGATTGGAAAAAGAAAAAAAATATGTTTAATATTAAGGCTAGAGGTGTGGCTCTAGAGTGGCTCTAGAGTGCCTGGCTATTGAATAAGTTCAAGGCTGTGAGTTCAAAACCCTTTATTTTCCTCCTTTCCCTCCCTCTGCCAAAGTTAAGTATTAATGGTGATTTTGTAGTTGAAAATTATAAAGATTGAGTTTAAAGGAAGATCTTGAAACCAAATACATGATTGGTGTTTGATTAATGCTGCTTCTAGTCATTACCATAAAGGGGTAAGAATGCTCTCATTGCTACAAAATTGTCATCAATAACATCTTGATTTTTAATTAATTATACTTTAAAAAATTGTCTTTTAGTGAAAATCCTGTTTTCAAGCCTTACTGAGAAATTAAATATTTCAGTGTCATAATTCAGTTAAAACAAATTTTCTAGCTGGGTGCTTGTGGCTCATGCCTATAATTCTAGCTATTCAGAAGGCTGAGATCTGAGGATCACAGTTCAAAGCCAGCCTGGGCAGGAAAGTCTGTGAGACTTTTTTTTTTGGTCAGTCATAGGGCCTGAACTCTGGGCCTGGGCACTGTCCCTCAGCTCTTCAGCTCAAGGCTATTGTTCTATCACTTGAGCCACAGTGCTACTTTCAGCTTTTTTCTGCTTATGTGGTGCTGAGGAATTGAACCCAGGGCCTCATGCATGCGAGGCACGCACTCTACCACTGAACCAACTTCCCAGCACTGTGAGACTCTTATCTTTAATTAATTACCAGAAAACCAGAAATGGATCTATGGCTCAAAGTGGTACAATGCTAAACTTGAGCAAAAAAACTCAGAGACAGCGCCCAGGCCCTGAGTTCAAGCCCCATGACCGACAAAAAACAAACACAAAAGACCAATTGTTCTAGATAGAACTCATTTGGAAATACATTTTTCCACTTGAATTGGAAACATGAGCTTTCTTTCAAATGGATAGCATTTTGTTTTTCTAGAAATAATTGTATTGTTAACATGTTAAAAATATATCCAACAGTAGCAAACAAAATTTGTGAGCCTTTCGCTGTAACATGGCCCAGTAATAGACATCAGTAATATAGACATCAATAAGAATCAGAGGATGAAGTGGCACTGTGGCTTAAAGTGGTAGAGCGCTCACCTGGAGCTGAAGAGCTCAGGGACAGCACCCAGGCCCAGAGTTCAAGCCCCATGACTGACAAAAAATAAAATAAAGAATCAGAGGACGAATTTAGTTCCCCCAATTCAGCACTTAAACTGTAAGAATCGCAGCTGGGTGCCAATGGCTCATGCCCTTAATTCTAGACACTCTGAAGGCTGAGATTTGAGAATCTAGGTTCAAAGCCAACCTAGGGAGGAAAGTCCCAAGAGATTCTTACCTTTAACTACAAAAAAAGAGCTAGAAGTGGAACTGTGTCCTAAGTGGCAGAACAATAGCCTTGAGCAAAAGAAGCTCAGGAACATCACTCAGGCCTTGAGTTCAAGACCCAGGATGGGCCCTGCAGGAATAGCAGTGCCAGGTATGGATGTGTCATTTTTTAAAGAGTGTTAACCTCTTGCCAGGCACTGGTGCCTCACACCTTCTAGGAGCTGAGATCTGAGGATCAGGGTGTTCAGAGCCAACTCCTATAGAAAAGTCAGTGAGACCCTTATCTCCAGTTAACCATCAAAAATGCCTTATTAGAGACCCTCCAGTGTGGCTTCGCAGTGAGTGCAAAGCCTAGCAGAAGTGTAAGGCCCTGAATTTGAGCCCTGATTTTGTCACAAAAAAGAGATTTTGAACTCTTAAGAAAATGATGCTTTGTAAGTCATCTTACTAGAGAATATTTAGTTGAATGTGTATGGAAGTATCAGCCTTCCAAATGGGAAAGGCAGTGTGCACTGAAATGATTATTGTAGCATTATTGAAAATGAGACAAGAGTGACTGGCCTTAGCTCAGTGGTATGGTGCATGCTTAGAATCTCCAGTTCAGAAAAGAAAGAAGTAAGTGAATGGCAAAAAGGAGAAGTTAAACATACTAATTTTACTGCTTGGGAAGTTGAGGGGGGAGCTCTAGAGACTAGGAGTTTGAGACCAATATGGGTAACATAGCAAGACCTCATCTCAACTTCCCCTTTTCCCAAAGAAAACAAAAACGAGCTATACATTTCCTAGAAAATCATCAGAAAAATGGATTGGTTTTAGAGTAACATACCTTTTTTATTTTTTGTCCTGTTGATGGGACCCAGGACCCTCATCCATGCTAGCAAGGCATACTACCATTGAGCTCTACTGCCAGTCCAACACAACTATTTTGTGTGTTCATAATTTTGTGATTTCATATTTGGGGCTCAACTGACTTCACTGAACTTACTAATGCTGCCATAGTTGACGGTACTTTGTAGGGGCTCGGTGTTCCAAGGAGAGCTGGTCATGCGTTTCTTTGATTTCTCACTCGCAAAGAAAGTACCTTTTCAGATGACATTGCAATGGGTGAGAGCTCTTTCAGGTCAGGCTAGGCTTGGTCAGAGATGGTCACAGGTGCAGCCCAAATATCACCAGTGGGCATATAAATTCAGCTGTCTTAAAAAAAAAATTATTTTTGAGATATTGCCTACCATGTGTGAGACCCTAATTTTTAGTATATTGCGACCATCAGCTAGGTATTCTAGAATCTCTTCCTCACCCTAAAAAGAAACATCTATTAACAGTCACTCTGTCAGCCTTCCTTCTAGTTCCTGGCTACCATCAAACCACTAATCTGTTTTCTACCTGTGATTTTCCTGTGATTTTATGTATTCTTGACATTTCCTACAGAGTGGGATCATAAATTATGTGGTCTTTTGTGACTTTTTTCCCCCACTTGGGATACTGCATTCAAGATTTGTCTGTCATCAGTATTTTTTTGGGTAAATACTATTCCATTGTTTATCCGTTCATCAGTTGGTGGACAATTTAGATAGTTTCCACTTTTTAATCTGTTTTGACTAATACTGCTACCAGCATTTGTATACAAGATTTCCAGGAATACATATTTTAATTTCTCCTGGATAAAATGTGGTTGTGGTAAATGTGGTAAGTAAAACTAAAATTGTGGTACATAATGTTTTATTTTTAAAAGCTCCTACATATATTTTACTTTGATACTTTTCTTTTTTCAGCGAGTACTGAGCCATCAAGATGACACAGCTTTGCTAAAGGCTTATATTGTTGAGTGGCGGAAATTCTTTACACAATGCGATATTTTACCAAAACCTTTTTGTCAACTAGAGATTACTTTGCTGGGCAAACAGAACAGCAACAAAAAATCGAATATGGAAGATAGCATTGTTCGAAAGGTAAGTCAATTTTCTCCCATAGTTTTGCTAATAATCCTTAGAAGGAATTACTTGAAGGCATTTCAAAGGTTTTTCTTTTTACTTCTTCCTGGGTGTTATTGAACATATTTGTCATTCTTCCTGGGGAGCTTCAGCTTCAGATTTACCTCCTTCAGTTTTTCTTTTTCCTTTTGACTTTACCTGTTTTGTTTTCAGCATTTTGCTTCATTCCCTATTCCCTCTTTGTATATTTATCTTCCTGTAGATTAAATGACTTTTTTCTGTCAAAAATTCTTTTACTATGTTGTCTTCATAAAACTTTGTGTTTAATTATGGCTACAGTGCTGTCAACTTCTTAATCTTTTGTTTCTAGTTTTTTGTTTTTTGTTTTTTTTTTTTGGTCGGTCGTGGGGCTTGAACTCTGGGCCTGGGCGCTGTCTTTGTGCTCTTCAGCCCAAGGCAAGCACTCTACTGCTTGAGCCACAGCACCACTTCCAGTTTTCTAGTGGTTTATTGGAGATAAGAGTCTCACGGACTTTTCTGCCTGGGCTGACTTTGAACCATGATCCTCAGATCTCAGCCTCCTGAGTAGCTAGGATTACAGGCGTGAGCCACTGGTGCCCAGCTTTGTTTCTAGTTATTATAAACTCAATATGCATTTTGGTCATTTTCATAGTTTCTAATTAAAAGTTCATGCCAAAAACTGGTCATGATTCAATAGAAGGAATTCGGCCCTGAATGTGAAGGGGTCCCAGATTTCCTTTTCCACTCTGAATTATTCTTCAACCTTTTGAATATAATCCGATTTTTATGTATAGGTGGTGCTGGAGATTGAACCCAGGTCCTCACACATACTGAGTACATACTTTATTGCTTACATACTCAGTTATTACTAGAGATTGATAATAGAAAGAATGGCCATTTGAATTTTAAATAACTTGCAGTTTGCTGTGGTGGTTGTAGTAACAAATTTAAGCATTACAATAGTGTGATCTGGGCATTGTTGACGCATCCCAGTCTTTTTCTTTTTTGCAAGGTCCTGTGGTTTGAACTCGGGGCTTGGGCACTGTCTCTTGAGTTTCTTTTGCTCAGGGCTAGCACTCTACCACTTGAGTCACAGTTCTACTTCCAGCTTTTTGATAATTTATTGGAGATAAGAATTTCATTGGGGGCTGGGAAGGTGGCCCAGTGGTAGAGTGCTTGCCTTGCATGCATGAGGCCCGCGGTTCGATTCCTCAGCACCACATAAGCAGAAAAAGCTGCAAGTGGCACTTTGGCTCAAGGGGTAGAGTGCTAGCCTTGAGCTGAAGAGCTGAGGGACAGCGCCCAGGCCCAGAATCAAACCCCACAACTGATCAAAACAAAAAAAGAATTTCATTGGTTTTCCTGCCCAGCCTGGCTTTGAACTGCAATCCTCAGATCTCAGTCTCCTGAGTAGTGAGGATTACAGGTGTGAGCCACCAGCACCCAGCAAGAAATGTTCTCTTTACCAGACTTAACTGTAACCCCTCTGTATATCACCTTTATAATAACAATTAAAACATTAAAAAAAATAAAGTGACCTGTATCCAAACTCTGAAGATTGAGTTACTGGGAAAAATACAGTAGTCTTAGGTATATAGTGATCAGTAGTAACTTGACCCTTGCTGTTAGTGCTGCTGTTGTAGCTGATGTGTGAGACAAAGTTAGGAGCACTGACATGTCCTCACCGGTGGGGGGGGGGGGGGGGCTGTGTGTGTGTGTGTGTGTGTGTGTGTGTGTGTGTGTGTGTGTGTGTGTGTGTGTGTGTGTGTGTGTGTATAATTTCTCTCATTTTGATGGACATCTATAAGGGAGATTTGCATTTATCATCATACACTAATTGTACAAGGAGGTTTCATATGGTATTTTTGTAGATATATATGCTATACTTTGACCAAGTCCCCTCCCCTCATTGTGTTCCTTCTCTCTCTCATTTCCCTTTTCAAATAGCAATTAGTGGGCTGCATTCTGCTATCTTGATGTATATTTATAACTTATTGCAATCTTACTTTCCTCTGCTAATTCCTTCCCCTAGATAACCCTCACGTTCATGTCCAGTGTTCCTACAAAGTTTCTGCACTTTTAAGATGTCAGTACTGATAAGAATCTGAGGGTATTCTATTTGTATTTATTTATTTTTTTAAGTTTTTTGGTCAGTCGTGGAGCTTGAACTCTTTGCTTGGGCGCTGAAATGACCATCCTATTTATTTTTATTTGTATTTATTTATTTTTTAATTTTTGTGAGGGTATTCTAAACATACCAATATTTCTGAAATTTGACTTCGAACTATAGAAGAAGTAATACTTTCCTTACATAATTGTATTTAATTTTTTTTTTTTCTGGTCCTGGGGCTTGAACTCAAGGCCTGAGCACTGTCCCTGAGCCTTTTTGTGCTCAAGGCGAGCACTCTACAACTTGGGCAAGCCACAGCGCCAATTCTTTTTCTGAGTGTTATTGGAGTCTCATGGGGGTCTTTTCTGCCCAAGCTGGCAGTCCTCAGATCTCAGCCTCCTGAGTAGCTAGGATTACAGGTGTGAGCTACTGGTACCTGGCTGTATTTAATTTAATTTTTACAATACTAGAACTTTGTATCTTACTCTATTTTACACATAAGAAGGCAGGTGAGTAAGTAACAGAACTGAGATTCAGGCTTACCTCAAACTCAGACTTGTGTCTGATTCTGAAATTCTTGTTTTTTACCCACATGTTACATACACTATTTTGCTAAAGTAGTCAGATGAAAATTGCAGCATGAGTATGGTGGTGTTGGTTTTTTGGTACTAAAATTTGTGTGTGCATATTTGATAATTTGTATACTGATAATTGAAATTATACCCTGTTTTCTTATCTTCCTAGCTTATGCTTGACACATGGAATGAATCCATTTTTTCAAATATAAAAAATAGACTTCAAGATAGTGCAATGAAGCTGGTTCATGCTGAACGATTAGGAGAAGCTTTCGATTCTCAGCTGGTTATTGGAGTAAGAGAATCTTATGGTATGTTCTTACACCTCCCCCCCTCCTGGGGTTTGAACTCAGGGCCTTGTAGTTGCTTGGCTTGATTGATCAGCTGGCACTCTACAGCTTGATCCACACCTCCAGCACAGCTGTTTGCTAGTTATTTTGGTGATGGAGCCTCACTGACTTCTCTGCTTGGCCTGGCTTTAAGTTGTAATCCTCTGGATCCTCCTGAGTAGCCAGTTGTATGAGTATATAAAGTCACATTACATTTCTTGTGCAAATGCTTTTTTTTTTTTTTCCAAATGCTTTTTTATTGTAAGAATATACAGGTGATAATTTTGCTTAAAGAAACCTATAAAAGGGGCTGGGAAGGTGGCTCAGTGGTAGAGCGCTTGCCTTGCATGCATGAGGCCCTGGGTTCAATTCCTCAGCACCACATAAGCAAAAAGAAAAAAGCCAGAAGTGGTGCTGTGGCTCAAGTGGTAGAGCCTCTAGCCTTGTGCTGAAGAGCTGAGGGACAGCGCCCAGGCCCAGAGTTCAGGCCCCACGACTGGATCCCCCCCCCCAAAAAAAAACTATAAAAGTTGATATTCATGTGGTTTGTATTATTTCTTTGTATTATTTCTGCTAAAAAATTAATTTCAGTAAGCTAAACTTAAAAAATACAAATAAGTCCATAGTTCATAAAAGGTAACTGGTTTTGTCTTTATGTTTTTGTGAAGTTCCTCACATGTATATGCTTTTTCTTTCTGACCATGATGTTTTCTTTTCTTTTTTTTTTTCCAGTCCTGGGGCTTGAACTCAGGGCCTGGGCACTGTCTCTGAGCTTCCATTGCTTGAGCCACAGCGCCACTTCTGGCTTTTTCAGTGTATGTGGTACTGAGGAATTGAACCCAGGGCTTCATGCATGCTAGGCAAGCACTCTACCACTAAGCCACATTCCCAGCTGATGTTTTCATTTGTTCTTTCAGTCTCATAGTGTGCTTTGACTTAGAATGTTCTTCTTGCTCTTTGGTTTCTAATTTGCCAAAATCCTTTTTCCTCATGGAGGTCCTTTCTAATTTACCAACTAGGTTAGAGCCCATCACTTAGAGCTTTCTAGGACCTTTGTTTCCCTGATACAGTCCTTTTGTGATAGGACCTTGCTTATACTGGCTCTTTACTGAACCAGAATGCCTGGTACAAAATTACTCTCAATATCCAATATGTGTTTATGGAATTAGTGATTAAGCCTTTTAAGTTTTCATTACTGCTGCTCCTAAAACTTACTCATATTATCCTTATTTCATCTGCTACAGTTTAGATGTCTATAAAGTCTATGTCTAAACATGTAAAACTGTTCGTACAGGAATTCTTTGGGGATCATTTAATGCATTTACTGTTCACAGACTGATAGTACTGTTTTATTGTATCTTACTTTGTGGTAGTAGGAATTGAACCCAGCACCACATGCTTGCTAGGGAAGTGCACTACCAGTTGAGCTGCATCCCCAGTCCTTGATTGTTTTCTGTTTGTTTTTCTTTTGTTTTTGTTTGTGTTTTTTTTTTTGCCGGTCGTGGGGCTTGAACTCTGGGCCTGGGCACTATCCCTCAGCTCTTCAGCTCAAGGCTAGCTCTCTACCACCTGAGCCACAGCACCCACTTCCGGCTTTTTCTGCTTATGTGGTGCTGAAGAATGGAACCCAGGGCCTCATGTGTGCAAGGCGAGCACTCTACCACTGAGCCACCTTCCCAGCCCCTTTATTTGTTTTTGTTTCTTGATGGTACTGGGTTTGAATTCAGGTCCTCATGCTTGTTAGGAAGGCCATCTTATCCATTGAGCTACTCCATTAGCCCTTTTTTTTCCCTGGCTTTTTGAGGTAGGGTTTTGTTCTATGCCTGAGCCAGCTTTAGCTTAAGTAACTAGTATTACAGACTTGAACTACTGTGCTCAGCTTGGTATTCTTTCTGCTTAACTCTTTCATGCTAGGTCTTCCTAAATTTGTGGCTACTTAGTTTGATATTTGAGGTCTCCACAGCCATTCCTAATTTAGCATGCTACTTTATCTTCTATTAGCTTTATAATCACCTTAGACAACCTACTTATTGTAGTTTGTGTTCTGCTTCTGAATATGTACTTACCTGATTGTGTTTGCAAAATACTATAGTGTAAGATTCATTTTAAACCTCATCTGTGAATAGTTTCTTTTTTATTCTCTTTAAGAAATATAACACATAAGATATTTGATCATTTTTTAAAAATTCTTTTTTGTGAATAATTTCTTTTCTTTTTGGTCATGGGGCTTGAACTTTGGGCCTGGGCCCTGTCCCCCAGCCCTTCATCTCAAGGCTAGCGCTTTACCATTTGAGCAAGAATCGAACCCAGGGCCACATGCATGCAAGGCAAGCACTCTGCCACTGAGCCACCTTCCCAGCCCTGTGAATAGTTTCTTAGTAGCCAGTGGGCCACATGCATGCAAGGCAAGCACTCTGCCACTGAGCCACCTTCCCAGCCCTGTGAATAGTTTCTTAGTAGCCAGTGTCTTTCCTATCCAAAGCTAAAATATTGGTCTATTATAATACTATGTAATATTATTATATATAACATATACTGTATAAATAGTATATGTTATTATACTATAGTATAATATATATTATGTACACAATATATATAACATGTACATGATATATTATACATGTATATGTATAATATATAATATATGTATAATATATAATATCTATAATATATATTATATATTATACTATATATAGTATTGTTACTTTACTCTTTTTGTGATATTTTTGCAAGATGATTTTGTTTTACATGTTTATGTGTTTTTGTGAGCATTGTCATCTTACTCATATTGGCTCCTTAAATTTGCTCATTTGTTGTACTCAAAATACTGATTGAGATCATAATGAAAAGTTGTTTTTTTTTTTTCTTCTATTTTTCAGTTAACCTTTGTTCTAATCCTGAGGATAAACTTCAGATTTATAGGGATAATTTTGAGAAGGCATACTTGGACTCAACAGAGAGATTTTATAGAACACAAGCACCCTCATATTTACAACAAAATGGTGTACAGAATTATATGAAATATGTAAGTCAGGATGCAATACATTTGACAATTTGAGCTCTTTTCTTGATACTTTTAAAATGATTGCTACCTTGTTTCCGGGCAGGCAGATGCTAAATTAAAAGAAGAAGAAAAACGAGCATTGCGCTATTTAGAAACAAGACGAGAATGTAACTCTGTTGAAGCAGTAAGTCATCTTTTAATTGTATTCCTTTTTATGAGAATTTTTCAAGTAATATAGCACAGGGATGGCAAATACATGACACTTATGATACTATCATCTTTCTCATGTCTGACCTACTTTCCTAATTATAGACCTTCCTCTATGAGCAGAAACACAGTTCTAAAGGTACCTAACTCAGAATATATTGTCCTTCAGAACTGGTATGTAAAATAAAATCTTTTCCATCTCTGCTCTAAATTCTGTTATACTTAATGAATATTTAATTTTTCATCATTTTCATAATCAAAGATAATAACTATGCTAGACATTTTCTTTTACAAAACGAGGAGTTCATTTGGGTGTGCTTAAGGAAGAAATAAGAATCAAGGTATACTTTTTACTTAGTAGGTATGTATTTAAGCAGGGAAGAAATACAAAAGAGGATTGAAGTGATCTGTACTTGGGAACTGACCTTCTTGGTAGGATGGACCAATTTGTGATGAAGATAGACCTCTACCAATCTCCCTGTTTTCCTTTTTGCCTAGTTAAAAGTTTCCTCAAGAATTTTTCAGTACACAGACATGTGTGCAATGGCTTGTTAATGAATGTTCATTCTTTTTTTTTTTTTTTTTTGTCGGTCGTGGGGCTTGAACTCTGGGCCTGGGCGTTGTCCCTCAGCTCTTCAGCTCAAGGCGAGCGCTCTACCACTTGAGCTACAGCACCACTTCCGGTTTTCTGGTGGTTTATTGGAGATAGGAGTCTCACGGTCTCTCCTGCCCGGGCTGGCTTTGAACCGCGATCCTCAGATCTCAGCCTCCTGAGTAGCTAAGATTACAGGCGTGAGCCACCAGCGCCTGGCTGAATGTTCATTCTTAAAGGAATTATAATCCTAATTCTAAAACAGATTCCCTCCAAATAAGGGTTAACAGGTTCATTTGTTCTTTTTGCTTTTATATATATAATTTTTTCTCCTTCTTTTGGGGCTTTTTTTTTTTTTTTTTTTTGGCCATTCTGGGGCTTGAATTCAGGGCTTGGGAACTGTCCCTGAGCTTCTTTTCTTTTTGTCCATCGTGGGGCTTGAACTCTGGGCCTGGGCGCTGTCCCTCAGCTCTTCAGCTCAAAGCGAGCGCTCTACCACTTGAGCTACAGCGCCACTTCCGGTTTTCTGGTGGTTTATTGGAGATAGGAGTCTCACGATCTCTCCTGCCCGGGCTGGCTTTGAACCTCGATCCTCAGATCTCAGCCTCCTGAGTAGCTAGGATTACAGGCGTGAGCCACCAGCGCCCGGCTCCTGAGCTTCTTTTCCTCAAGGCTAGCACTCTACCACTTGAGCCACAGCTCCACTTCCAGCTTTTTCTGTTTATGTGGTACTGTGGAATCGAACCCAAGGCTTCATGCATGCTAAGCAAGCACTCTACCACTAAGCCACCTTCCCAGTCCTCCTTTGGGGTTTTTTGTTAAAATTATTACAGTAAACCTACGTTCTATAGCTTTTCCCTTAGGAAGAACTATACATTAGTAAACTAGTGTAGATTATGCACTCACTATCAGCAGTTCTGTAGTCAAGGTAAGCTAAATCTTCTTTTGAACACATTTTTCTGTGGAACAGTATGGTTTCCTTTTGTGATGGTAATAGATTTGTGCTATAAAGTTTGAGATTAGCCTCAACTAACATTTGCTCTATTTCAGCTCATGGAATGCTGTGTAAATGCCCTGGTGACATCATTTAAAGAGACTATCTTAGCAGAATGCCAAGGCATGATCAAACGAAATGAAACTGAAAGTAGGTAAAACATAATGTAAAACATAAAACATTATATATCATAATCTAAGCTGGATGCGGGTGATTCATGCCTGTAATCCTAGCTACTCAGGAGTCTGAGATCTGAGAATTGTTGTTCAAAGCCAGACTGGGCAGGAAAGTCTATAATACTCTTATCTGTAGTTATCTCCAATTAACTTCCAAAAAGTTGATGGTGGGGCTGGGACTCTAGTGGTAGAGTGGTAGCCTTAAGCAATAAAAAGCTCAGAGACAGTGCGTAGGCCCTGAGTTCAAACCTCTGGACTGACTGAAAACAAATAAAAAGATACTATAATCTTTTAGGAAATTATCTTTGAATCAGATCACTTGATAAAATGTTGTCAGATTGTTCTTTTAAACTTATGTATATTTACTACAGTGAGTTATGTGTGATTAAAGAAAATGATGAAATATTTTAACACCAGAACTACTGCTAAAAAGTTTCCACACTTAAGTCATAAACATTTTCCTCTGTTAAGTATCAGTGAGTGTGTGTGTGTGTGTGTGTGCGCGCGCATGTGTGCATGTGTGACTGTGTGGGTGTGTTTGTGCATGCATGTGTGTAGAATTTCTGCTTTTTTTCTTAAAGGCAGAACTTCCCATTGAAAGTTGTAAACATATAGTTTAGGGTAAAGGTATTTGACTTGCACAGGACCTTGTGGCTACTCTTTAGCAAATAATAAAACACTCCATGATAATATATTTTGTCCCTTTTCCTCCCCCAGAATTTAAATGTTTTCCTAATAAAGGTATGTTTTGGAAAGTAGCAGTTATATTAAAAAAAAGGAAAAATTTATTAATTTCCCTAATATTCTGAGAAAATAATTTTTAACATTTTGATGTATTCTCCAGATTATTGTGTCTAACTGCAGGGTCTAGTTTTAATACCTGGTTGCAATTAAAATACACATTTTAGCTTGTAAATTCATAGTCTCTTTAGGAGCAGTTATATAGTTCAAAGCAAATTACTTATTGCTGTAACTGAAATACTTGGATTTTTATATGCCAACCTTAGTAGTTAAGTCTGATCCATGTAAGATTTCCTACAAAAGTATATAGTGATACTAATACTGTGTGGTATTGTTTTGTGATGGTCAATTAAATAATATAATGTGAAAAAGTGTTTTAGAAATGGAAAATCGTTTATGGATACAATTTTATGTTAGCTTTAGTAAAGTTTCTCATATAATTATTGCTCATATTTTTTTAACCTTTTCATGAATATTGCAACTTTATGAAGTATACCAGCTTGTGGGTAAACTTTTATATTCTATGTTTGAGACAGGGTCTGGCCACATAGTGTAGGCTAGCCTGTGTTGGCCTGAAACTCAAAATTGTGCTGTCTCAGTCTCCTGAGTGTTGTGACTGTAGGTGTGCACTACCACTCCCCAGTACTTTTTTTGCCAGTCTTGGAGCTTGAACTCAAGGCCTGGGCATTGTCCTTGAGCTGCTTTTGCTCAAGGCTAGCACTCTGCTAATTGAGCCACAGCAACACTTTTGGGTTTTTCTGTCTTATGTGGTACTGAGAAATTGAACCCAGGGCTTCATGCATGCTAGGTAAGCACTCTACCACTAAGACACATTCCCAGCCCCTGTAATACTTTTTATATTAAAAAATACTGATTTTGCCAGGTGCTGGTGACTCAAGTCTGTAATCCTAGCTACTCAGGAGGCTGAGATATGATTGTGGTTCAAAGCTAGCCTGAGCAGGAACATTTGTGAGACTCTTATCTCCAGTTAACCACCAGAAAACTGGAAATGGTACTGTGGCTCAAGTGGTAGAGTGCTTGCCTTGAGCTGAAGAGTTCAGAGGATAGTGCCCAGGTCCAGAGTTTAAGACCCGTGACCAGCAAAAAAAAAAAAAATCATTCCATCTGTGTCAGTGGCTCATGCCTGTAATCTTAGCTACTTAGGAGGCTGAGATCTGAGGATCACAGTTCAAAGCTAGCCAGGGCAAGAAAGTCTGTGAGGCTCTTACCTCCAATTAGCCACCAAAATACCAGAAGTGATGTGTGGCTCCAAGTTTTAGAGCACTAGCCTTGAGCAGAAAAGCTCAGGGACAGCACCGAGGCTCTGAGTTCAAGCCCCATGACTAACGTCCTCCCCCCCACAAAAATCCCAAAAAACAAAAAACAACAAAATCCAACTGAGCAGGTTAAGAACTTTTTTTTTTTTTTTTTTTTTTTGGTCCGGTCGTGGGGCCTGAACTCTGGGCCTGGGCGCTGTCCCTCAGCTCAAGGCTAGTGCGCTACCACTTGAGCCATAGCGCCACTTCCGGCTTTTTTCTTTTTGCTTATATGGTGCTGGGGAATCGAACCCAGGGCCTCAGGCATACAAGGCTAGCGTTCTACCACTGAGCCACCTTCCCAGCCCCAGGTTAAGAACTTCTTAACTGTAGTAGCTTCTAAACTAATTGTACCAACAGAAAAGTATTTTTTTTTTTTCAATTTAAACCTCATCTGTGAATAGTTTCTTTTTTATTCTCTTTAACAAATAAAATACATGAAGATATTTGATCATTTTTTAAAATTCTTTTTTTTTTTTTTTTAAATAGTTTCTTTCTTTCTTTTTTTTTTTTTTTTTTTTTTTTGGTCATGGGGCCTGAACTCTGGGCCTGGGCACTGTCCCTCAGCTCATCAGCTCAAGGCTAGCTCTCTACCACTTGAGCCATAATGCCACTTCCGCCTTTTTCTGTTTATATGATGTTGAGGAATCAAACCAGGGCCTTGTGCATGCAAGGCAAGCGCTCTACCATTGAGCCAATTTCCCAGCCCCCAGAATAATATTAATATTACAAATCTCCATCTAATGTTTCTTCAAATTCTTACTGCCATAGATATTTTGTGGTATAAATCAGAGAAAATTTATTCTAGTGAGTAAAATGATGATGTGAGTATGTTCTGTCCTTTCAGAGTTACATTTGATGTTTTCCTTGATGGACAAAGTTCTGAATGGGATAGAGCCAATGTTGAAAGACTTGGAGGAACATATCATTAGTGCTGGCCTGGCAGATATGGTAGCAGCTGCTGAAACTATTACTACTGTAAGTTTTTTTCCTGGTCTTTTTTTTTTTTTTTTTTTTTAATTCTGTCCCTGAGCCTTGTTGCTCAAGGCTAGCACTCTACCGCTGGAGCTACAGCTCTACTTCCATCCAGCCTTTTAGTGGTTACCTGGAGGTAATAAGAGGCTCAGGGATTTTTCTTCCCAGGCTGGTTTTGAACTGTGATCCTAAGATCTTAGCCTCCTAAAATTACAGGTGTGAGCCACTGGTGCCCAGCTCTAGGTTATTTTTTTCAAATGAAAGGTTATTTAAAATGGTAATTTAGTCAGCAAAATAAGAATGTTGAAACACCTTTTGATTTTATTTTTAAGAAAATGTTCTCCAATTTTCAAATTGTAGTTCATTAAAATTATATTTTTTCTTTATTTTTATTATTTTCTTTGTAAAACTAAATTGAATATAAAATACATTTTTTTTCAGGACTCTGAGAAATATGTTGAGCAGTTACTTACATTATTTAATAGATTTAGTAAACTTGTCAAAGAAGCTTTTCAAGATGATCCACGATTTCTCACTGCCAGAGATAAGGTAAAGATTTCTGTATGTTAACATTTTGTCATGTGTAAATTATAATTTACTTTTAACAAGTTTGTATTGTTATGCCATTAAATTAAAACTACAATTGGCAACTTAATTTTTCCTGAGTGGACATCTACTGTTTTCATTATTTGGTTTGGCATATGTTTTTGTAAGCATTGGAGGTAGCCTCCTCGAATAGAATTTAGCTAGAAAGTTGTTCTTGTCTTCATTTTTTCAAAAATGTTCTCCTATTTCTGAATATTACCAACAGTTGGGTTCATAACTCTTTTTTAAGACGTAGCTCAAAGTATATTTCCCTGAAACTTATATTCTGCCTCCTACCACACCTCCTCCCCAGCCAAGTTGATTTCTCTACTCTTTCCTATCAACTCCTGGGCTCCCACGAGAGTTGATTCCAAATTTCTATTTGCTTTGCCAGGAAGCTTGGTGCAAAATATATTATTTGTTTATATCCTCAGTAAATAGGATGAAGATAACTAAACATCAAGTTGTCCTTTAAGTGTTAGCTTTTTGTTTCCCCTTCTCACTTTTTTTTTATTGATCAGTTATGGTGCTTGGACTCTGAGCCTGGGCGCTGTGCTTCAGCTCTTTAGTTCAAGGCAAGTGCTCTACCACTTGAGCCACTTCTGGTTTTCTGGTGGTTTATTGGAGATAAGAGTCTTCTGGACTTTCCTGCTGGGTTGGCTTTGAACCACCATCCTCAGACCTCAGCCTCCTGAGTAGCTAGGATTACTCAAGTAACTTTTTTTTTTTTTGCCAGTTCTAGGGCTTGAACTCAGGGCCTGGGCACTGTTCCTGAGTTGCTTTTGCTCAAGGCTAATAGTCTAGCTCTACCACTTGAGCCACAATGCCACTACCAGCATTTTTAGTTTATGTGGTACTGAGGAATTAAACCCAGGGCCACATGCATGCAAGGCAAGCACTCTACCACTGATCCACCTTCTCAGCCCCTCAAGTAATTTTTTGTGTGTGTATGTATTGGTCCTGGAGCTTGAACTCAGGGCTTGGATGCTGTCCCTGAGCTTCTTTTGCTCAAGACTATCACTCTACCACTTGAGCCATAGCTCTGCTTCTGGCTTTTGTGATGTTTAATTTTGGTGTAAGAATCTCACAGTCTTTCCTTCCCTGGGCTGGCTTGGAACCATGAACCTCAGACCTCAGACTCCTAAATAGCTATGATTATAGGCATGAGCCATTGATGAGCCTGACTTTAGTTAAACTCTTTTACATCCCAGAATTTTTGCTTTTGACTTTAAAAGTACAATTACTTTTCCATCAGACTTTTTCCTTAATTCTTTTTTGTGTACTTAATTATATAAGTAGGGAAATAATGGAATATGGAAGTGGTGGGATGATTTGAAGTCAAATTGAGTAGTCTGCTGAGGCTTCTGAAGGGACATTTGACCAAGTCAGTAGAGAAAGTCACATGGCTTTTTGAGGGAGGAGTATCATCCATATGCAGAAAAATCTCTGTCCTTTTCCAGGAATAGCAGAAGAGGTTACTGTGGCTAGCATATTGAGAAGCCAGCTCAGGAACCATGCTAATGAATTGGTTTTACTCTTAGTTGGATGGGAAGCTATTGGAATATTTTAAACAGTAGTAGGACTTGACTTTCATTTTAATTATACTATTGCAAAAAAGAAAAAAAAAAGGCTGAAGGAAGCTGGTGATGCAGACCAATAATCCTAGACGTCAGAGTCAGAGGCAAGAGGATTGCTAGTCCCAAGCTAGCTTGGCCTAAGCAGCAAGAAATTGTCTTTAAAGAAAAAAACAATAAGTTGATGTTAGGGAAATGAACCCTAAGATATGTATTCAAATGTTTTTTTCTTTCATGCGATTGTTTCTGACATATTTATAAGATTATTTCTTTGTTGCTTTGTATGTCCCTTCCCCACGATATAACCCCTGCTTTCACTGTATTTGATGGCGGTATAATTTGTGGAGGGGAAGGGAAAAAACAAATGGTTTAATAGGGATATAGGTGGACCCATTGCAACAATGAGATGTACAAGTCATTATGTTGAAAACGAACTTTACAACTTTGTTGGGGGGGGGAAGGAGGGGAAGAGGAGGATTGGGTGGGGGGCGAGGGGGAGGATAGGAAGGGATGGGAAGGGGAAACAAAGGAGGAGGCTACAATGCTTGATAAAAAATGTACTCATCTTACCCATGTAATTGTAACCCCTCTGTACAGTATTTTCACAATTAAAAAAAAAAAAAAAGAAACAGAACTGGAGGGAGTCAAGCGAAAAACAAGAAAACAGAGTAAGAATGCATTTAAATTAGTAAAGTAATTACTGACTTCTCAGAGTGATGGTTCGTGGAAGAGGTTGTCAGAAGTGTTTTCTTTTGGAATCACAATCCCCAGATCTCCGCTTTTTCTCTCACCTTTTTTTTTTTTTTGGTCGGTTGTGGGGCTTGAACTCTGGGCCTGGGCTCTGTCCCTCAACTCTTTAGCTCAAGGCTAGTGTTCTACCACTTGAGCCACAGCGCCACTTCCGGTTTTGTGAGTGGTTTATTGGAGATGAGAGTCTCGAATACTTTCCTTCCCGGGCTGGCTTTGAACCGCTATCTTCAGATCTCAGCTTCCTGAATAGTTAGGATTACAGACGTCAGCCACCCATGCCCGCTCACTTTTTTGTTGTTGTTGTTGGCCTGAACTCTGGGCTTGAGTGCTATCCCTCAGCTCTTCAGCTCAAGGCTAGCGCTCTACCACTTGAAACACAGCACCACTGCTGGCCTTTTCTGCTTATGTGGTGCTGAGGAATTGAACCCAGGGCCTCATGCATGCAAGGCAAGCGCTCTACCACTGAGCTACCTTCTTAGCCCCTCACTTTTTTTTTTTATATGAATATTTTACTTGGGAAATTCAAGTAACACAGTTTGTGAAGATGGGGGAAGAAGAAAATTAAAGGAGAAGATTGTAGGTAATACCAGTTGTAGTATGATTTCAACAGTGAGTTTTAATCTGCAAAGAAATTTTTTAAAACTGTTCAAAGTTTCCCCAACTCAAGCCAGGCTCTGGTGGCTCATGCCTATAATCTTAGCAACTCAGGCAGCTGAGATCTGAGAATTGTTGTTTGAAGCTGGCCCTTGTAGGAAAAAAACCTGGGAGATTTCTTACCTCCCATTAATTTCCAAATAAAGCCAGAAGTGGGAGCTGTGGCCCATATGAGCAAAAAAGCTCAGAGACAGTGCTCAGACCCTGGACTGGCATCAAAAAGTAAAAAAAAAAACCAGGTGCTTGTGTTTATAATCCTATAATCTTAGCTACTCAGGAAGCTGAGATCTGAGGATTGAGGTTCAAAGCCAGGCTGGGCGTGAAAGTCTATGAGACTCTTAATCTCTAACCACCAGAAAACTGGAAGTTGCACTGTGACTCAAGTGGTAGAGCATTCGCCTTGAGCTGAAGAGCTGAGGAACAGTGCCTAGGCCCGGAGTTCCAAGCTCCACAACTGACCGTCCCTCTCTCCCCCCCAAAAAATTCCCTACCCAGGAATTGTTCGTTCCTGGACATTTTTAGTGGAGTGCATAGGCAGTAACAGATTTCCATAATTTTACATTCCAGTCTGTATACTGACAGAAGTCTACAGATTTGGAAGAGGCTTGGCAACATTTGTTAAATAAGTCCTGTAGTTTGGCAATTGAAAGATGTTTTGGCTGACCCCTTTCTCAGCTCATAAATTCTGTCTTTGTCATTCCTGAACTAATGGTTGCCATGCCACTGCCATCTTACTCAGGTTCTCAAAATTAATGTCCTGATGTTTTGGTTTTTTTTTTCTAGTTGCACATTTAGATATGAACCATGGTATGATAAGATATATGTACATGTGCATACACAGAACAAAAAGGTTACTCTAAAGGAAATTATTTTAGAATTACTTAGGGAAGGAAGAAAAAGAAAAGGAGACAACATGCAAGACTGGAAGTCTGTTTCATATGTGTACTGTGCTGGTTAAGACTTGGAGAAACAAGCTTTGGGGGGAGAGCTACAGAGAAATCACAAACTCAGTTTTGAGCAGATTGACTTTGAAATGTGTGTTGATCATCCAAGTGGTAATGTTGAGTGTGAGTTTGAGGGAATGGTGCTTTTGCATATAGATGTTTTTCAAAGCACTGACGTTGCTTGTGATTACCAATCATATGTGAAGATGAAGAAGAGAAAACAGCTGGGCGCTGGTGGCTCACTCCTATAATCCTAGCTACTCAGGAGGCTGAGATCTGAGGATCGCAGTTCAAAGCCAGCCTGGGCAGGAAAGTTACTGAGACTCTCTTTGTTTTTGTTTTTGGTCGGTTGTGGGGCTTGAACTCTGGGCTTGGGCGCTGTCCCTGCGCTCTTCGGATTGAGCCACAGCGCCACTTACGGTTTTCTAGTGGTTTATTGGATAAGAGTCTCACGGACTTTCCTGCTCAGGCTGGCTTTGAACCGTGATCCTCAGATCTCAGCCTCCTGAGTAGCTAGGATTACAGGCATGAGTCACCGGTGCCCAGCTTCCTGAGCTTCTTTTGCTCAAGGCTAGTTTACCACTTGAGCCACAGTGCCACTTTCGTATTTTTCTGCTTATGTGGTGCTGAGGAATTGAACCCAGAGCTTCATGCATGCTAGTCAAGCACACTACCACTAAGCCACATTCCCAGCCCTAGCCTAAGGTATTGTTATGTTTAGTTCTTTCAAAAATGAAGAAGTGGGCTGGGAAGGTGGCTCAGTGGTAGAGTGATTGCCTTGCATTCATGAGGCTGTGGGTTCGATTGTTCAGCATCACATAAGCAGAAGAAAAAAAAAGCCGGAAGTGGCGCTGTGGCTCAAGTGGTAGAGTGCTAGCTTTAAGCTGAAGAGCTGAGGAATAGCGCCCAGGCCCAGAGTTCAGGACCCATGACCGGACCCTCACCTCCCCCCAAAAAGTTAAAAAAAATGAAGAAGTATTTTTAAAAGTATATTCTGGAGGTAGTGCGGTGGCTCAATAGGTAGAATGCTCGCCTTAAGCTAAAGAGTTCAGGGATAGGAGCTGGGAAGGTGGCTCCGTGGTAGAGCACTTGCCTTGCATGCATGAGGCCCTGGGTTCTATTCCTCAGCACCACATAAGCAAAAAGAAAAAAGCCAGAAGTGGGGCTAGGAGGTGGCTCAGTGGTAGAGCGCTTGCCTTGCAGGCATGAGGCCCTGGGTTCGATTCCTCAGGACCACATAAGCAAAAAGAAAAAAAGCTGGAAGTGGCACTGTGGCTCAAGTGGTAGAGTGCTAGCCTTGAGCCGAAGAGCTGAGGGTCAGCGCCCAGGCCCAGAGTTCAGACCCCACGACCGGACCCCCCCCCCAAAAAAAAAAAAAAAGTTCAGGGATAGCACCCAGGCACAGAGTTCAAGCCCCATGACTGACAAAAAAGAAAAAAAAAAGTATTTAGGTAGCTGTACAAAGGAGTTTGAATTCAGCACATCAGTTTGTGAGTACAATATATTTTGATCTATGTCACCCCTTCCATCCTTCTCCCAAGGCATCCTTTCTTGAGGCCCAAGAGAATGCCTAGGAGAGTGCTAGAAAACATGGAGAAACAAGGTGTAATCTGCTGTTGTAAAATGCTACTGGTGGATCAGCTAAGAAGGAGGTGAATCATTGTCACTGGCAACAGGGAGGTTGACTTTCCTTTTTTTTTTCACTTTTTTTTTAAATTGTGAAAATACTGTACAGAGGGGTTACAATTACATGAGCAAGATAATGAGTACATTTTTTATCAAGCATTGTAGCTTCCTCCTTTGTTTCCCCTCCCCTCCCATCCTCCCCCCGCCCCCCGGAGGTTGACTTTTCTAATAGTTGAGTGGACTATGGATTATGGTTTGAAAGTTAATTAATTACTATGGTTTATAGTTAGAGGGTAGGAAAAAAAAAACTAGGGGTACTAGTTACATAATTTTCTAGGAGATTAGCTAAAAAGGAAGCAAGGAGGGCTGGGAAGGTGGCTCAGTGGTAGAGCGCTTGTCTTGCATGCATGAGGCCCTGGGTTCAATTCCTCAGCACCACATAAGAAAAAAAGAAAAAAGCCGGAAGTGGTGCTGTGGCTCAAGTAGTAGAGCGCTAGCCTTGAGCTGAAGAGCTGAGTGAGGGACAACACCCAGGCCCAGAGTTCAGGCCCCCCGACACGACCCCCCCCCCTCCCCCAAAAAAAAACCAAAAAGCGAGGAAAGGGTCATTAATTCAAGATAGACAAGACATTTTTTTTCTTATTGTTTGTGGGGCTTGAACTCTAGGCCTGGGTGCTGTTCTGAGCTCTTCAGCTCAAGACAAGCACTCTACCACTTTGAGCCACAGTGCTACTTCCTGGTTTCTGGTGGTTGATTGGAGATAAGAGTCTCACGGATTTTTATGCCAGGGCTGGCTTTGAACTGCAATCCTAGATCTCAACCTCCTAAGTAGCTAGGATTATAGGCATGAGCCACCAGCACCTGGCTAAGAGACCTTTTTTAAGATGTGAAAAATAGCAATATACTTTTGGTTGTGAGGCTGCAGTAACAGTGGAGAGGGAAAAATAGATGTAGGAATGTAGAAGAAGAAATGATTGGACAAAGGTGGCTCAGTGGTAGAGCGCTTGCCTTGCATGCCTGAGGCCCTGGGTTCAATTTCTCAGCATCACATAAGCAAAAAGAAAAAAGCCGGAAGTGGCGCTCTGGCACAAGTGGTAGAGCGCTAGCCTTGAGCTGAAGAGTTGAGGGACAGAGCCCAGGCCCAGAGTTCAGGCCCCACAACCGGATCTCCCCACCCCCCCAAAAAAAAGAAGAAATGATTACTTCCCTCAGTAAAACAGGAAGCCATAGCTTTTTTTTGGATCATGGGTCTTGACCTCTGGATGTTGTCCCTCAGCTCTTCAGCTCAAGCCTAGTGCTCTACCACTTGAGTACCACTTTGGGTTTTCTGGTTGTTATTGGAGATAAGTCTCATGGGCTTTTCTGCCCAGGCTGGCTTTGAACCATGATCCTCAGATCTCAGCCTCTTGAGTAGCTAGGATTACAAGTCTGAGCCATCGGCACCGAGCAGTTTTTTTTGGGAGGGGGTGGCGGTGGGGGTGTACATAGGGAATATTGGAAGTTTGAAGAAAAAATTGTTTAGGAGAATAGGAAACTGCACAAGAGAAAATGGGTGTGGGGTGTCAGGAAGCATGAAGTCCCTTACTTGAGATTAGTGATGGTTAACATGGCAAAGAATATGCATTATAGTAAGTTAGATGGCTTGAAAAAGGCTTCTATTAGGCCAGATGTATCATTGAAAATACACACTGGCAGACAGGTGCCGGTGGCTCAAAAAGAAACTAGAAGCTGAGTGCCAGTGTCTTAAGCCTGTAATCCTAGCTACTCAGGAGGCTGAAATCTAGAGAATCACAGTTTGAAGCCAGCCCAGGCAGAAAAGTCTGAGAGACTCCCATCTCAAAAACAACCCATTAGAAAGCAGGGCTAGAGGGCATGGCCCAAGTAAGAGTCAGCAGAGCAAGCCAAGTGAAGTCCAAAGTCCTGAGTTAAAACTCTAGTATTGACACATAAGGGTGCAGAGGAGGCTTAGTAATAATAATAAAGTACATGCTTTGGACATACATAAAGTACATACATTGGACATTCAAGTCAATCCCTAGTACCATGTGAAAGGAAAGAACAAACATAACCACTTGATTCATATTTTTATGTAGTTTTGAAAGTCTTCACAACTTGTCAGCATATTTTAAGTATTTAAGTATAGCAATTATATTCTATTTCAAATTATTTTTTACAGGCTTATAAAGCAGTTGTTAATGATGCTACCATATTTAAACTTGAACTACCGTTGAAGCAGAAAGGGTAAGTTTCGTAAAACCATACGTTAAAAATAACTGTGGGGGTCTGTAGTACTTGTTACTGGGTTTGCAGGGCTCTCTATTTCCCTGTAAGGTTTGGTTCTTTGTTTTATTTTGTGAGACAGGTTCTTGTGACATATCTTAGGCTGATCCCAAACTTTTTTTTTTTTTTTTTTGGGTCCGGTTGTGGGGCCTGAACTCTGGGCCTGGGCTCTGTCCCTCAGCTCTTCAGCTCAAGGCTAGCACTCTACCACTTGAGCCACAGCGCCACTTCCAGCTTTTCTTTTTCTTCTGCTTATGTGGTGCTGAGGAATCAAACGCAGAGCCTCGTGCATGCAAGGCAAGCGCTCTACCACTGAGCCACCTTCCCAGCCCGATCCCAAACTTTTGATCTTGTTTCTTCCTCCTGACTACTAAGATCAAGTGTGTGCGACCATTCCTGGCTAGCTTTTTTTTTTTAAAACTAGGACTTGAACTCAGGGACTGAGTTCTAGCTGCTCAGGAGGCTGAGATTTGAGGATCGTGGTTCAAAACCATCCCGAGTAGGAACATCCATGAGACTCTTATCTCCAATTAATCACCAAAAAGCTTGGTGGAAGTGGAGCTGTGGCTCAAATTTTAGATTGCTAGCCTTCAGCACAAAAGCTCAGGGATAGTGCCCAGGCCCTGAGTTCAACCCCCAGGATTGACAAAAATAGTTACATACTCTAGACATTGTACTCATATAAGTATCAGCCTTAATTACTATTTGTCATAAGAGCTTTTTAAATGATTCAATGAAAGTAAGGAGTTTGTGAAAAATTGGGTTTAGAAAAGCAATATTTGCTAACATCAATTTCCATCAACTTTTTTTTTCTAGAGTGGGATTGAAAACTCAACCTGAATCAAAATGCCCTGAGTTACTTGCCAATTACTGTGACATGTTGCTGAGAAAAACACCATTAAGCAAAAAACTAACCTCTGAAGAAATTGAAGCAAAGCTCAAAGAAGTGGTACATAGTTTTTTTAATATATATGAAAAAAATTTTTTTTAAGACCAGAGAAAGATTTATGACTTGTAGTGGTAAGGAGAGCACAGCAGTTATTTTCAAAGCAATTCCCTGCAACACAGGCAAACATGAAGTTTTCTGTATTTCTGTTTTGTGGGTTTTTCTTAGTGCCAGTCCTGGGGCTTGAATTCAGCCTGGATGCTGTCCCTGAGCTTCTTGTGCTCAAAGCTTGTGGTCTACTGCTTGAGCCACGGTGCTTTTTCTGAGTAGTTTATTGGAGATAAGAGTCTCGCAGAATTTCCTGCCCAGGCTGGCTTCTAACTGCGATCCTCACATCTCATCCTCCTGAGTAGGATTACAGGCATGAGTCAGTCAGTGGTACCTAGCTTGTGTTTCAGATTTTCTAATTATCTTACTTTGAGCATTTTGCTTTTTAGACATTCTGTAATATCAGAAAAGTTTTTAAGCAATTGTTATTATGAACTTTGCTGCTGCTGTAGCTCTACAGGATATTTATTTTGTCTATGGCGGGGGGCGGGGGGGGGGTAGGGTGGGCTTGAACTCTGGGCCTGGTGCTGTTCGTTAGCTCAAGGTGAAAGTTCTACCACTTGAGCCACAGTGCCACTTCCAGTTTTCAGGTTGTTAATTGGAGATAAAAGTCTCATGGACTTTCCTGCTTGGGCTGGCTTTGAACCATGATCCTCATTCTCAGTCTCCTGAGTAGCTAGGATTACAGGCGTGAGCCACTGACACCCAGCAAAAGGTATTTATTTTTTCTAACAAAGAAATTTTATTCTATAGTTGTCTGAAAGGAAAACAGTCTTTCCCTCCTCTCAGTTTTTGGTGATGGTGTAGACCTTAAACTTGCTAGATGAGCACTGTACCACTGAGCTGCATGCCATCCATTAGTTTTTTGAAATGGGGTCTTTCTTGTGGTTGTTCTTCTTTTTTTTTTCCTCTCTTTTTATTTTTGATGGGGAGGCTTGAACTTGGGGCCAAGGTGCTGTCCCTAAACTTTTACTCAAATCTAGCACTCTACCACTTTGAGCCACAGCTCTACTGGGACTTTTCTGCTCACACTGGCTTTAAATTGTGATCCTCAGATCACAGCCTTTTGAATAACTAGGATTATAGGCTACCAGCTCCTGGCATCTTTGTTGTTTTGTAACTCAGGCTAACCTTGAACTTAGTATGTTGCTCATACTGGCCTTAAACTAGAGATTATTCTGCCTCCACTTTCTGCCCCCATCTCTTTATTCTTTTAGGTTATTAAGTTTTAGCTCTTGTTAAAGGATAAAAGGGGAAGAAGACTCCATAGGTTTGGAGTGGTAATTGAGAAATTAGAAGTTTTTCACTCCTTTTTGTAAGAGTCCCCAAGATAGGGACTCTTAGATAGTAGATAGTTGTTAGTTCCTTGCCTATATTTATTTTTTTGGACTCTTCCTAAGTTAGTGAAGTCTAAGAATGCAAAGAGGAAAAATAATTAAATGAGATAGAACAAATATAGGCAGAAAAGGCCCAGGGGGGAAAAAAAGAAAGGGAAGCTAAGGCTGAGAATGTGGCTTAGTGGTGGAGTGCTTGCCTAGCAAGCATGAAGTCCTGGGTTCAATTCCTCAGTACACCTAAACAGAAAAAGCCAGAAGTGGTGCTGTGGTTCAAGTGGTAGAATACTAGCCATGAGCAAAAGAAGCTGGGGGACAGTGCCCAGGTCCTGAGTTTAAGCCTCAGGACTGGCAAAAAAAAAAGGGGTGTGTGTGAAGCTAATAAGTAGAAAATTGGGGGGGAAAACTGTTGATTTTTATGTAAACTATTGTCACATTTATGTAAAATATGGAAAACTGATGTAGTTATTTGATTATAATCTCAACTAACTTGGAAGTGTGCACCAGGGCTGGTTATATTTCCAAGGTGACTAATTTACTTGCCTCTTAATGTAAAATTTCTGCACTTTGATAAGTAGGAGATACAGACATGTCTAAATGAGGGAGATGGCTCATAACATGTAAGAATTGGAAGTAACTTTGTTTTCTTTACAGCTTTTGGTACTTAAGTATGTGCAGAACAAAGACGTTTTTATGAGGTATCACAAAGCTCATTTGACACGACGTCTTATATTAGACATCTCTGCTGATAGTGAAATTGAAGAAAATATGGTAGAGTGGCTAAGAGTAAGTAAACTATTTTTATTTGTTTATTTATTTATTTTTATTTTTTATTTTTTGTCAGTTGTGAAGCTTGAAGTCTGGGCCTGGGTGCCGTCCCTGCGCTCTTCAGCTCAGGGTGAACGCTCTACAGCTTGAGCCACAGCACCACTTCCAGTTTTCTGGTGGTTTATTGGAGATAGGAGTCTCATGGAGTTTCCTGCCCGGGCTGGCTTTGAATTGCAATCCTCAGATCTCAGCCTCCTGAGCAGCTAGGATTACAGGTGTGAGCCACCAGCGCCCGGCTTATTTTTTAATATTTAGTGTTCTTACATAGCACATGGCGCCCGGCTTATTTTTTAATATTTAGTGTTCTTACATAGCACATGATTTGTATGTCTGCATGAGTAATATAGTTTGGTGTTACTGTTAATGTCAAAGAAGTAGGAATCATTTTATAAGAACACAGCATCAAGTATATAAAATTATATCCATTAAAGTTCTTTTTTTTTTTTTAATTTTTTTTTGGGGGGTCCAGTTGTGGGGCCTGAACTCTGGGCCTGGGCACTGTCCCTCAGCTCTTCTGCTCAAGGCTAGCACTCTACCACTTGAGCCACAGTGCCACTTCCGGCTTTTTTTCTTTTTGCTTATGTGGTGCTGGGGAATCGAACCCAGGGCCTCATGCATGCAAGGCAAGTGCTCTACCGCTGAGCCACCTTCCCACCCCCAGTTCATTTTCTTAATACATTCTAATTCTGCACTTGTTTCTGATTTTTTTTATTGTTTGACTACTGGTTGTACTCTTTGATTTAAACTGACTTTATTAAGTAGGCTTGAGGACAAATTGTTCATTTGTCCTTAATTTTCATTTGCAGAAAGGTTCTTTACATAGTAGCTACCTAAGGTAGTCAATGTTATTTATAACTAAACACCCATATAAGAATATTTTAACATTTGTTCCTTTCAGTTCATTTTAATAATGGTATTTGAATTTTATTAAAATGAATGTTCTTTGTATACAGAGAGCAATTTTAAACTTTGAGTACTCATGCTTTGGCAGTATGGGGTCATAAAAATTACTGTGCTAACTGGAACTGCTCAGGAGGAACAATAATGATTTTTTAAAAAATCAATACTGTTTGCAGTTTCTTTTGTCTTTTGTTTTTTTCTCTTCTTGTTTATTCCCCGTAGTCCCTATTTCTGATTTTGGTACCCTTTGTATATATGTTTATCTGACGGTAGAAACGGTAGGACAAAGTGTGAGCCAGTGCAGCTGAGATGCTCACTAGATACTATGTTGGAAATGAACTTTATAACTTGTGGGGGAGGGGAATGGATGGGGAGGGAAAGTAGGAGAGAACAAGAGGGATTAACACTGTTGGAAAAGAAACCTACTGACTACCTTATGTAACTATAACCCCTTTGTGTATCACCTTTACAATAAAAACAATTTTTTTTTTTTTAAATCGAAAGTTTCACTCAAAAGTTACTATACCAGAGCTGGGTACTGGTGGCTCATTTCTGTAATTTTAGCTACTCAGGAAGCTGAGATTTTAGGAATGAGAAAGCCAGCCTGACAGGAAAGACCAAAGAGAGAGAGGGGGAGAGAGAGAGAGAGAGAGAGAGAGAGAGAGAGAGAGAGAGAGAGAGAGAGTGTGTGTGTGTGTGTGTGTGTGTGTGTGTGTAATGAGAAAGCCAGCCAAACAGGAAAGACCAAAGAGATTGTGTGTGTGTATGTGCGTGCGCGCGTATGTGTGTGTGTGCCAATATGACCAAAGAGATTTTGTGTGTGTGTGTACGCACGTGTGCCTATGCCAGTTCTAGGACAGTGTTCATAGTATCAATATTCCAACCTTAGTCTGCTATCTTCTATACCTCCATTTTATATTTTATTGTATTGGTACTTCCAACATTACCACCTTTTTTTTTTTTTTTGGTGCCAGTACTGGGCCTTGAACTCAGGGCTTGGGGCTTTGGCCCTGAGCTCTTTTGCTTGAGACTAATGCTCTGTCACTTGAACCACAGCTCCCTTTGGCCCTTTGTAATGAATTGGAACTAAGAGTCTCAAGGACTTTTTCTGCCCAGGCTGGCTTTGAACCATAATCCTCAGATCTCAGCCTCCTGAGTAGCTAGGATTACAGGTGTAAGCCTTCATTGACTGGCTAGCACCACTTTTTATTTGAGTAAAGTTTTGTGTTTGGATAACGGATTGAGATGTGCTTCTGGGTTTTTGTCGTCTTCTGTTTGTTTGTTTTATTCCAGTACTGATGCTTAGACTCAGTGACTTGCACAAGGCAAATGCTGTACTACTATGCTATTCTTCCAGTCTGTGGTTACGTTTTTTCATAATATGTGGATTGAGGTGCTAAGAATGAAGTTTATTCTTTATATTTATCAATCTAGTGGCATCTGAAGTTGAGGGGAGTTGTTAGTAATGAATATTAACTATATTGTAGTAACTGATGTCATACATGTTGCTACTGTGCAAATCAAGAACTGCCTGTACCAACCTACTTAGTTTCTAAGAATCAAATTTAATAGGTATTTGACTATAATAAACATTCTTAGAAACATCCCTCTGGATAAGAAATTTGTATTAATAAGCATCTAAGACAGTTTTGTTAACACTTTTTACACTTTATCCTTGTAGTATAACAAATTACATATTATTTCTTTCTGTGTTTGATTTTTGTAGGAAGTTGGTATGCCAGCAGATTATGTAAACAAGCTTGCTAGAATGTTTCAGGACATAAAGGTATCTGAAGATCTGAACCAGGCTTTTAAGGAAATGCACAAAAATAATAAATTGGCTTTACCAGGTATTATTTTATTATTACACATAAAGTATTTTTAAACTTTTTCTGAAAGAATGTCTTTTCTATTTACTAAGAATAGATGTGCCTGGTGCTGGTGGCTGAAGCCTGTAATCCTAGCTACTCATGAGGCTGAGATCTGAGGATTGCAGTTCAAAGCCAACCTAAGCACGAACATCCCTGAGATGTTCGTTAACCATGATTAGGCGAATGCAATCATGTGGGCACATTTTACTATAGGGAAGGCCAGGAGATGAGTCTCCTAAGATGAGGCCTGCTAAAATTTCTGTTCTATATGAGACAGGAAGAATAGACAAAATGTAGTATTTTTCACATGCAACATGTGTAACATTTTATTAACTAGTTGGTAATCATGATCTCCAGTTAACCACCAGAAAACCAGAAGTGGCATGTGGTTCAAGTGGCAGAGCACTAGCCTTGAGCTGAAGAGCTGAGGGCCAGTGCCCAGGCCCAGAGTTGAAGGCCCATGACCAATAAAATAGATGTGAGGCCTGGTGTTGGTGGCTCACAAGTGCAATCCTAGCTACACATGGAGCTGAGATCTGAGGATCCCAGTTCTAAGCCAGCCCAGGCAGGAAAATCTTACTGTCATTAAACTACGAAAAAAACTGGGAGTGGAGTTGTGGCTCAAGTGACAGAGTGATAGCCTTGAGCATAAAAAGCTCAGGACAGGGTACAGGCCCTCAGTTCAAGTCCTAGGACTGGCACAATAAAGCAGCACCAGAAGGAAAATGGATGTTAGCAGTAATAGATCCAAGGATGTAATGAAGTCCATATTCCTTAGAGATAGCTGTCAAGGCCTAGTGGTAGATTTGGAAATCTTACTTAGAAACAAGGATACTTTTAACAAAACCTTCTATTTGTTTTTCACTGAAACTTAATCTCTACTATTTATTTTGAATTATATCCATTATCAGGATTATTTATATTTTACACTTTCTGATTTCTTACCTTTAGCTGACTCAGTTAATATCAAGATTCTGAATGCTGGTGCCTGGTCAAGAAGTTCTGAGAAAGTCTTTGTCTCACTTCCTACTGAACTGGAAGATTTGATTCCTGAAGTAGAAGAATTTTACAAAAAAAATCATAGTGGTAGGAAATTACACTGGCATCATCTCATGTCAAATGGAATTGTAAGTAGATGGTGTGTTGGTTCAATTAATTTGGGTAAAAGTAGAAAGACTTCAGAAATGGGCACCAGTACAGAATAGATTTTTTTTTTCGTTTCCACATAGAAAGTGTAATGGATTTATCCATGAAATTGGTAGGGATGTAGTCTTCATGCACCATTATGCCTACTGTATTTCACAGCCCTTGTGTATAGAATTCAGTTTGATTCCCACTGTGTGTGTGCACAGGAAGGGAATGGAGAAGATGGATTTTCCCTTAAGAACATGTTGTGAATATTTTCCCATTTCTCATTGTAGCACATTAGACCGAATGCAATCATGTGGGCACATTTTACTATAGGGAAGGCCAGGAGATGAGTCTCCTAAGATGAGGCCTGCTAAAATTTCTGTTCTATGTGAGACAGGAAGAATAGACAAAATGTAGTATTTTTCACATGCAACATGTGTAACATTTTATTAACTAGTTGGTAATCATCATAAAGAGATTTTGTACTAACTAAAGTCTGTTTTCTCTTCTGTAGATAACATTTAAGAATGAAGTAGGTCAATATGACTTGGAGGTGACCACGTTTCAGTTGGCTGTGTTGTTTGCATGGAACCAAAGACCTAGAGAGAAAATCAGCTTTGAAAATCTAAAACTTGCAACTGAACTTCCAGATGCTGAACTTAGAAGGACTTTATGGGTTTGTTTTAAATTTTGTGTCATTGCATGCACATATATATATATATATATATATACACACACACACACACACACACACACACACACATACATATACATATATACATACATACATATATACATACATACACATATATATATATATACACACACACACATATATATATATACATATACACACACACATATATATGTGTGTATATATATATATATATATATATGATTGGCATGCAGTAATTTGTCTTTTGGTGTCAAATCCAATGCCGCCTTTTTTTCTGTCAATCTTGGGGGCTTGAACTCGGCCTGGGCATTGTCCCCAAGCTTCTTTTGCTCAAGACCAGCACTCTACCACTTGAGCCACAGCATCACTTCTGCTTTTTTCTGTGTATATGGTATTGAGGAATCGAGCCCAGGGCTTTATGCATATGAGGCAAGCACTGTACCACTAAGCCACATTTCCATCTCAAATCCAGTGCTTTCTATACACTGTTCACACTGTTCCACCAAGCTATATACCCAACCCCTGACATTTGTGAATTCATGACACTCAAAGTGACATAACCAAGAAAAATAGTAAATGAGGTTTTTTTTTGTTTTGTTTTGTTTTTGGGTCCAGTCATGGCCTGAACTCTGGGCCTGGGCGCTGTCCCTCAGCTCTTCAGCTCAAGCCTAGTGCTCTACCACTAGAGCCACAGCACCACTTCCAGCTTTTTTCTTTTTGCTTATGTGGTGCTAAGGAATCGAACCCAGGGCCTCAGGCATGCAAGGCAAGTACTCTACCACTGAGCCACCTTCCCAGCCCTAAATGAGGTTTTTATGGAGAAAAGAAATTGAAAATATACAAGTTACTAAGAAAGGCAAAAAAGAGGTAAAGATTCAGTTGACATTTAAATATTGTTTGTGAGGAGTCTGACCAAACATAAGTACTATACTATTTCTGTACTGACCTTGTGTTCAAAATTTTATGATGAAAAATCCAAGAGTTAGAAAAATTGGGATTTGTTCATTTTTACGATTTGTGAAAGTTGCTTATTAGCTTTTTACTTCAACTTCATTTTGCTTCTCCTTGTATAAGTTTATTGTAAATGCCAGAATAGATTGTGTCCTCTGGATATTGCTTTGATCCTATGTAACTAACCCTAACTTCTTCTATTTCCATAAAGAGAACATTTACTGTTCCTCATAACCAGCTCTTTTATTTATTTATTTTTTATAACCAGCTCTTTTAACCTCCTTTTACATTATATCCTTGTATTCTTAATTTTTTGGAAGTACACATAAAAGGTTGCATTGTGGGCTGGGAAGGTGGCTCAGTGTTAGAGTGCTTGCCTTGCATGCATGAGGCCCTGGGTTTGATTCCTCAGTACCACATAAGCAGAAAAAGCCAGAAGTGGCACTGTGGCTCAAGTGGTAGAGGCTAGCCTTGAGCTGAAGAACTGAGGGACAGTGCCCAGACCCAGAGTTCAGGCCCCACAACCAACAAAAAAAAAAAAAAAAGGTTGCATTGTAAATTTGTGTTTATACTCTCCAACTTTCTTCATGTTGGAGAGTTGATCTTAGCATTCTATACTGTTTGTGGATCCTAATTGTTTCTTTTCATTCTTCATAGTCTTTAGTAGCTTTTCCAAAGCTCAAACGGCAAGTTTTATTGTACGAACCTCAAGTCAATTCACCCAAAGATTTTACAGAAGGTACCCTCTTCTCAGTGAACCAGGAATTCAGCTTAATGTAAGGTTAATTTGATTGAAAATAAAAATCTCATTTGAATTTTACTATTTCTTTGTTTTTAACAAAATGTTTTCCTTACATGATATTTAAAGCAATAATTGTTTACTACCAGTCTAAACTTATTATAGTGGTTTGTGTTTGTGTGTGTGTATATTTTTCATGTACTACCTCCGTCTGGGCAGTGTGTGTGTATGTGTGTGTGTCTGTGTGTGTTTGTATGTATATTTTGTATGTATTACATGTGCCAGTACTGGAGCTGGAATTCAGGGCAGGGCCTTGAACTTTCATTTGGCTTTACTACTTGAACCAAACTTCCAGTTCCAGCTTTTTGCTGGTTAGTTGGAAATAAGAGTCTCTTAGGTTATCTGCCAAAAAGCATTGAGCCAGGCGCCAGTGGCTCACACCTGTAATCCTAGCTACTCAGGAGGCTGAGATCTGAGAATCATGGTTCAAAGCCAGCCTGGGCAGGAAACTCTGTGAAATTCTTATCTCCAATAAACGATCAGAAAACCAGAAGTGGCGTTGTAGCTCAACTGGTAGAACGCTAGCCTTGAGCTGAAGAGCTCAGGGACAGTGTTCAGGCCCAGAGTTCAAGCCCCACAACTGACAAAAAAAAAAAAAAAAAAAAAAAGCATTGGGGCTGGGAAGGTGGCTCAGTGGTAGAGCGCTTGCCTTGCATGCCTGAGGCCCTGGGTTCGATTCCTCAGCACCACATAAGAAAAAAAGAAAAAAGCCGGAAGTGGCGTTGTGGCTCAAGTGGTAGAGCGCTAGCCTTGAGCTGAAGAGTTGAGGGACAGCGCCCAGGCCCAGAGTTCAGGCCCCACGACTAGAAACCCCCCCCCCCCCCCCAAAAAAAAAAAAAAAAAAAAACATCAAAAAGTCCATAGAATTTTTCAGTTTCATCTGAGACAGTGTCACTGTGTAGCCCAATCTGACCTCAGATTTGCTCTATATGTACCATACCCCACTCTATCCCTAAGTTGCCATCCTCCCAAGTGCTGGAATTGTAGTCATGTGTCACCACACCCAGCATAGATTTTTTTGTTTTGTTTCTGTGGAACCACCATTGTCCAGACGTCAGCCTGGACATGTATCTGGGACAATGGGTGCATACATTGTGCCCAGCTGTTGGTTGATATGCCCAGCCTGTCTACACCTAGGCTGTCCTCAAACATAATCTGTCTCAGCCTCCCAGGTAGTTAGGATTTAAGCTTTGAGCCACTAGTGTCCAGCTTAGAATTTGTTTTAGATAAAGTTGTATATTGGTTGTTACTTCTTAAAATTTATGACTATTAATCTTCAGTGTATTCCTAAGTTTTTCTCAGTCACTTTCTGTGTAATGTTTTGTTACTCTTCATCATGAAAATTTTAAAATGTTTTTACAGAAAAAATGCAAAAGTTCAGAAAAGGGGTAAAATCAACTTAATTGGACGCTTGCAGTTAACTACAGAAAGAATGAGAGAAGAGGAGAATGAAGGAATAGTTCAGCTAAGAATATTAAGAACCCAGGTTTGTGATGTTCAGAATCTCTAAATATCAAAGCCTCTTTTTCAGTCTTCAAACTTTGTTTGAATTTAAAAGTATTTAGGTTATTTATCCTGTTTTAAAAAAGAACTGATTTTCATTTAACTGGAATTTAAAAATTAAATTTATTAAAATTGCATTTTGCCGAAACTTAAATAAAACTAATAATTAATAATTATTTACTGCTAACAGAGGTGTCTCTGTAGTTTGGTGGTCTCCAGCAGGTTCTACTCTGTCGGTTGCCTAAAACCTTGGTTTTATGTTATGGTACCTTTTGGCTCCACCTGAATAAATCTATTTTAACAATGTTTCATATTATAAGATTGAAACACTTTCAGTTGTATTTTATTTCTAGAGCTCTAATTCTGTTTTAATACGTATTTATGGAAACTTATTTAGATACAAATTTTTTTCCGAATTCTGTCTCTTTCCCTTTCTCCCTCTCTCTCCTGTGTGTGTGCACACATGTGTTATATATGCTGGTCCTAGGGCTTGAACTCAGAGCCTGGGTGCTATCCCAAAGCTTTTCTCTGCTTAAGCTAGCAGTCTGCCACTTAGTCTCACTTTGCTACTCAGGCTGGCTTTGAACCCTAATCTACAGATCTCAGCCTCCTAAGTAGCTAAGATTACAGGTGTGAGCTATTGGTGCCTGGCAAGAAATGTACAGAAGAAATCTGGGAAAAAGAAATGAAAAAGTCTCTCTATATAAATAATTAGCTCACTCAGAACCAACAATGGAATATCTGCTTCAAATAAAAATGAAAACTCCTCATTTTATAATTATAATGAGATATTTAAAAAACAACGTCTGCAGTAATTGTATATTGACGCATTTTAACTTTGTGGGCACTGGATAGTATTTATTTGATGAATCTCTCTTTCTCTTTCTCTATGTGTATATCTATCTATCTATTTAAATGTTACATTTTCTATTGGCACAACAAATATGTGGATATTGTATTGCATAATATCTGTTAATATTATATATTAAAAGATTTTTTTTCAACGTAAAAAAAAAATAAATAAATAAATAATTAGCTGGGCTGGGAAGGTGGCTCAGTGGTAGAGCACTTGCCTTGCATGCATGAGGGCCTGGATTCGATTCCTCAGCACCATATAAGCAAAAAGAAAAAAGCCAGAAGTGGTGCTGTGGCTCAATTGGTAGAGCGCTAGCCTTGAGCTGAAGAGCTGAGGGACAGCGCCCAGGCCCAGAGTTCAGGCCCCACGACTGGACCCAAAAAACAAAAACAAAAAAAAAAGCAAGAGCACAAAACCCTGCTACCAAGCTACATACCAGTCAAAGTTAAAAAATAATTCTTAAGGGCTGGGAAGGTGGCTCAGTGGTAGAGCGCTTGCCTTGCAGGCATGAGGCCCTGGGTTCGATTCCTCAGCACCACATAAGTAAAAAGAAAAAAAGCCGGAAGTGGCGCTATGGCTCAAGTGGTAGAGTGCTAGCCTTGAGCTGAAGAGCTGAGGGACAGCGCCCAGGCCCAGAGTTCAGGCCCCACGACCGGACCCAAAAAAACAAACAAATAGCTGTTTTTTTTTCCCAGCAGAGAGGTCATGAATAACATTGCTTTTCCTTAATTGCAAAATCTGTATTAGCAGATTTTTTTTTTATTTATAGGGTCTGAAAAGAATATTTTTATTTGTTAAGTAAATTTTGGTCTCAGTATTAAGCTATAGTGATTTCTGTTTGGTAGATGTTGGATAGAAGATCAAGTATTCATAAAGAGTCACTTTTTGTGTTGCTCTACTTAAATAAGCTTATTATACTAATACTCTTACCTTATTTTTCTTTTAGGAAGCCATCATACAAATAATGAAAATGAGAAAGAAAATTAGTAATGCTCAACTGCAGACTGAATTAGTAGAAATTTTGAAAAACATGTTCTTGCCACAAAAGAAAATGATAAAAGAACAAATAGAATGGCTAATAGAGCACAAGTACATCAGAAGAGATGAATCGGACATCAACACTTTCATATATATGGCATAGTTCTGAATATCATGGACAATGTTAAGAACCCAGATTTTGAAGTGCTTGGGCAGAAGTTGTCTCAGTTTGAGCTGGAGAAAGGTTTATTTGGACTTGGATAACATAAATATTAAAATCTCTGCCTTACCTTACAGAACAACTATATTTTGCCAATCCCATTAGGTAGCATGGTGGCACTCCTTCATGCGGCACACTCTGCCAGCATGCTGTTCTGCGGAGAAACTTGCACTCATGAAGAGCCATTATGAACTTCTAAAAGTGAATTTGTATTTACCCACCAGGAGAAGTTCAGTTGAGAAGGGTGAGGACAGGGTTCTAGTTGCTTTTCTCTCTTTTTTTCCTCTTAAAAACATGTACTTGCACAAGGAAGGATATTCAGATTCATGCACTGAAAAGTACTGTTTTCTTTTGTTTTACAAAATTCAATTAAAACTCTTGGTTTTTAATGGCAGAACGAGCTGGTCAGCACCACACTGGGAGAGGGCAGATGAAGGCAAGAAGATGAAGATTAGTTAGCAGGGTGATTATTTGTTCACACGCTGCTTTCAGTTGAACAACTGCATTTCAGTGGTGACCTCAAAAATCTCCACCTTACAAATACTGGTTTTCTCATGCAGGAGATGACTGTCTTAGTTAATTCGTTGAGTGAGCAGTAATTTTGTTCTTTTTTCATCTTATATGGCTGGAGGGCTTGTGAAAAAGTGAAGCTTGTTAATTGTTGCTTCAGTTGTTAAAATTTTATGGAAATAGATCATTATGATTACAGAGTCAAGCAAAAACATTGAGTGTGTTTACTAACACTTAATATTTATAGTCCTAATATTTATTATGCCATATCTCAGTTTCTGAAAATGCAGAAATCTCCTGCTCTACTACAGTGCAGTTGTGGAACTGATCTCTTAAGGTACAACTGTTTCGGTATTTCAGTCTCATGAGTAAGGAATTATAGCCTCAGGTTTCTGGGGAAAAAAGTTGTTCTCTTTTAAAAAGTAATGGTTGCCAGTCATCTGGGAGGAAGAGGAAAACCACAACATATGACCCCAAAAGCATAAGCAAAGTTGTTACAATCTCAATAGGAGCAGAAAACTTGCCAAATATGTACATATATATTTATATATTTTAAAAATAAACATTTTTTTAAGATATCCAGAAGGCAACACTTGTTCCTTTCAGTCAATCCAAAGCAGCAGCCTGTTGGTTGCTGGCCGCGTACTCAGAGCAGCGGAAATGTCAAGGACTGGAGGATTTGAACCACTAAAAAGTCAACAATTTATTCCTCATTGGGAAAGAATGGCTCAACATGGATTTTATTCACTGTGGTGCACGTTTCAAATTTTCTTGCAGTTTGCTTTTTATCTTTTTGGATGTTCAATTATATTTTAAAGTATGGTTTTGGAGCTAGAAAAAAAAAATGGAGCACTGAGAAGCATACAGTATTATTTTGTAGCAGAATGTTTTGAGAGCATTTCATGGAATCTGTTCTAATCCCAGAAGTTTTGTGAGCTCCCTGCTAGAAGGAAGAGAAAGTAAGCTTAAAACAGTAAAGTTTTGCTGGTTCTAGTCAGTTATCTGTTCTGAAATTCATAGGAAATTGGGGTTTTGTTTATAATTTAAAATCTTAAACTTCAACTCTAAGGTAGGAATTATTAGACAAAGCATATTGTGAAGGATTAATGTAGTACTCATTGTTTTCTCTAATTAGATGACTGCTGACAGTGCATAAATTTACAATTTAGAGGAAATAATTTTGTAATGATTGTGGCCCTTATGTAACGAATCGTTTGGTATTGACATTTGTCCCTTAATAGGAATGCCAGGAAAGGAGGAAGCATAATCATTTTGGTCATTTAACTTAAGAACAAGAGCCAGGATGTTTTGATTTATGAAGGAAACTTTAATGCAAAATGGGTAACACTAAATCCATAGCAAAGTTTTCTATTAAATTTTTTATAAATTTTTAATAGCTAATTATGTCCTGATTGTATTTTGGGAAATGAACAACAGCAAATACTGTCAACTTAGACTTTTCACCCCCCACCTTTTTTTGGGGGGGGGGGGGCGTGGTATGTATGCAGAAGTTCAACTACTTTTTGGTGTTTGTCAAGACCATTGTTTAATTTCCTTTGTTTTGACAATATAGCTGTTAATTTAATTTTAAAAAGAATAAACAATATCAAACACTGCTGTGGAATATGCTAAAGGTACCATATCACAGTATTCATCAGGTCCCTTCTCAGCACTGAAGTGCCGAGAGAGCAGAGGTGAAATGATGTCGTTGAGAGACAAAAAATGTGACTCTTCCTGCTCCAACACTTTATATTGTTATTTAATGAGTAGTGTAACAGGAATATACTTCAGGTGAATTTAAGTTTTGAACATTCATCTTGTCATTTAAAGATGAAGTCAATTATGCCAGGTGTGATGGTATGCATCTTTAGTCCCAGTGCTCAAGGAGGCTGGGGCTGGAGGAAAGAGTTTAAAGCCAGCCTGGATGACATAGTGTGTCTCTGTCTCCAAACACAAAAGAAGAGATGGAGCAGTCCGAAAATGTTAGCCTTGTTGAAACCCCATTGTGAGAATAAGTAGACACAAAACAAATTTTGAAAAATGATAATGACAATTTTGATGCTAGCATAAATATTTGAATGTTATTGCACCAATAATTCAATGAGGATCTTGGAGTAAATTCTGAAGTCTTCCAATTTTTACATTTATTGGAGGGGTTCCTGAGTTTCCCAATCCATATAAGTAAGTCTGTTTTGTGCATAAATGTTAACATTTCCAAAAAATGAAAGTTTATTTCACTTTTTATTAAGTTTAATACAAAATATGACCCAGTAGCTAAAAGGGATTTTGCATTATTTTCAGTAGATATCATTAGCTCTGCTCAAAGGGCAAATTTTAGAATTCAATTTGGGTGAAAGATTTGCTTGTTTTACAGAAGATTTTTGCTATCTTAGACTCAAGCTGGTTTTTCTATTCTCATGTAAATGACTGGATGCTGTCTTACAAATTCCTCCAAGGTCATGGTTGGGAAGTAACACATTATGTGAGAGCTTTCCTGTCATCTACACTGTCGTCTGGAGTGTTGAACAAACTTGAGTTCCTGAGGCGAATTCTGTCCTCATGGTCTGTTCGTCTTGAATGTGCGCCACTACATACCGAGATGAGAATGCTGTATGATTTTAATGGTAGTTTCTGTATGCAGTAGGCCAAAATATTTTGATGAACTGCTTAATTTTTTGGATTTTATTTTTTAAGTTGTATAATTTATTTTCTTGCAAAATAAAAAATGTAATATAAAAGCTTTCACTTACCCAGAATATATCAATGTTATTGTAAAATAACATCCAGTCTTAGATACCAGAAATAGGAAAATACCTATTTCTTTTAGAATTCAAGTTCTACTTTAAATGAAAACAGGACTGTTTGTGTCTGAGGAGATTAAAAATTTGAACCGAGGCTGGGCAAAGGTGACTCACACCTGTAACCCTCAATTACACTTTGAAGCCAGCCTGGGCTGGAAAGTCCTCCAGTTAGCCACCATAAAAGGCTGAAAGTGGAGCTGTGGCTTAAGCGTCCTGACCTTGAGCACAAAAGCTTAGGGACAGCGCCCAGGCCCTGAGTTTGCCACTTCTAAGAAACCACTCTGAGGCTCATGGGTGTTAGAGAAATGGAAGGTTTACAGTGTATGTTGCAAGGTTAATATTTGCCCTAAGTGGAGCTATTAGCTAGGTATCCTTGAATTTAGGCAATGTCAGAATCCAAAATGAACTTCCTTTTGAAAGATTGAAGCCGCACTTCCCTGTCCCAGGGGTGAGTGGGGCATAGTTGGAGGGGTGCAGCACATCACAGGACAAACCCTTAACCCCCAGTTCTGTTCCACTTACAAGTGTTTCTCCCATGTTTTCTAGACAGGTGATCTCGGGGCTGGGAAGGTGGCTCAGTGGTAGAGCGCTTGCCTTGCATGCATGAGGCCCTGGGTTCAATTCCTCAGCACCACATAAGCAAAAAGAAAAAAGCCGGAAGTGGCGCTGTGGCTCAAGTGGTAGAGCGCTAGCCTTGAGCTGAAGAGCTGAGGGACAGTGCCCAGGCCCAGAGTTCAGGCCCCATGACCGGACCCAAAAAAAAAAAAAAATAAATAAATAAAAAGACTGGTGATCTCACATTTAACTCCTTCAACTAGTTGCTCTAACTCCAAATTCTGTGCATCTGTGATGATTTCTAATTCTTTAGAAATGTATACAGAAGATAAGATTTAACATTTAGGGTATCTAAACTGCCCCAAAGATAGACTGGTGTGGTGCAGTTACTCAGGATTCTCTGTTTTTAAGACAGTGTCCTGTTTATAGCCCAGGCTGGCCTAGAATTCATGATCTTCCTGCCTCAATCTCCTAAATGCTGGCGTTACATGCCTGTACCACCATGCTTATTTACTCTTAATTTGAGTTAAGCTATAAAGAGCACCTTGCCCGTGGAAGATCTGGAAGTAAATTCATCTTGCCTGTGGTAGCTCTGGAAGTAAATTCATCTTGCCTGTGGTAGCTCTGGAAGTAAATTCATCTTGCCCGAGGTAGCTCTGGAAATAAATTCATTGTTCTTCCTCACATGTTCCTAAATACCTCAGAAGTCATGAAGCTCTCCTGACCAACAAGTGGCAGGATTTCCTGGTAGTGCTGTGGTGATGGAGATGCCTAATCAGAATGACCTCTGTCTTGCTTGAGCAGGTCTCTCCTAATACCAAAAGAAAAAGGAGATGACATTCCTTAATGCAGAGGGGTTTATGGCGATGAACCTGTTACATAACTGGCCTATATTAACCACAAAAGTAGCCATTATAAGTAGTCCTTTTACTGTTTTGTCTCCAAACCTAGCCATTATCCTTGGTGTCCTGACAGAACTGGTGCCAGTCACCAGCTTTGGCAGCCTGTCAAAACTGACAATCTTGTGCCAGACATAGTAAAGCATACCTATAATCCCACCACTTGGGAGGCTGAAGCAGGAAGGGGGTTTCCACTTGAAGGGCAGCCTAGGCTATGTAGCAACATCCTATGTCAGCAAACAGAAACACTGGCAGTTAACATTTATTAAACCAGACTAGTGGTTTTAAGATGTATCTTTTAAAATTCAACCTTTTCAATTAGGAATATGCATATATATGTGCACATATATATACACATACTCATATATATTACATAACATGCCGTATTATAACGATTTAGCTGGGTGTTGGTGGCTTACACCTGTATTCCTAGCTACTGAGGAGACAGATCTGAGGATCTTGGTTCAAAGTCGACCAGAGCAGGAAAGTCTATGAAACAACTCCAATTAACCACCAAGAAGCTGGATGGAAAGGGAGTTGTGGCTTTAATGGTAGAGTGCTAGGCTTGAGCGAAAAGTCACAGGGACCACATCAGGGCCTGAGGTCAAGCATCAGCACCAAAAAACAAGTATTTTTAAAGTTACGTATTTATACATACAAATGGTAAGTCTATATTGAGAAATCATACTTATTTCAGTTATGTTAATATGTGACATGGATTATATGGTTTTGTTTTTGTTTTTTTTTGTCGGTCGTGGGGCTTGAACTCTGGGTCTGGGCGCTGTCCCTCAGCTCTTCAGCTCAAGGCTAGCGCTCTACCACTTGAGCCACAGCGCCACTTCCGGTTTTCTGGTGGTTTATTGGAGATAGGAGTCTCACGGTCTCTCCTGCCTGAGCTGGCTTTGAACCACGATCCTCAGATCTCAGCCTCCTGAGTAGCTAGGATTACAGGCGTGAGCCACCAGCGCCCGGCTAAGTTCTATGTATTTTTGTATACTCATAAATATGCTATATAAAAAATTGATGTTGCAAAGTCACAAAGCTTTGTTGTCCTCTGCTGGAGGTCCAAAGCTGATCATGGCTCCACAGATGAGGGAATAGTCACAGATAACGTTTATTTTAGAGGAGAAGGCATAGAAAGCTACGCTGCACGATGCCGCCTCAGACCCCAGCTCTGCCACTTCCTGCGCAGCACGACCTCATTTAATGGAGGTTTTTTTTGTGCATTCATTATTTTAAACATTATTTAACAATATTCCCTTATCTTCCTCCCTCCCTCTCCCCCATACCGGGGCTTGAACCCAGGGCACAGGAGGCACTGTCCCTTAGCGGTCCACCACTTGAGTCACAGCTCCAGTGCCATCCAGCTAGTTGCTGGGTAATTGCAGATTAGAGTGCAGTGGACTTCCTGCCCGGGCTGGGTTTAGTCTGCTGTCCTCGCATCCCAGCCTCCCGAGTAGCTGGGATTGCAGGCGTGGGCCACCGGCTCAGCCCGGCCTATTCTTTCTGCAGACTTTCATGGATACTAAGTTAAAAGCCGAGGGGGTTCTTTTATAAGCACATGCATGCATTTTCTTCGTACGTGAGTTTTAGGGAGAAAGGCAGACTGGGCGAAGGAGGGGCTCGGGCGACACATAAACCAGTGTTCCCTGGAGCCAGTGGAGTGTCGCGTGCTTTCTGCCTTGGGTGGGTGCCCCCGCTCCCAGTCCCGGCGGTTACAGCTGTCAATTTTACACCGGGGCTGCCACCTTCGTCCGGCTCCGCGCTACGCCCCGCCCCTCCGTCGGCTGCGGGCCAATCGCCTCCAACCACGGCTGCTATTGGAGGAGCGGGAGGGGGAGGCGGGACCTGACGGGTTTGCTGGGTGTCTACGGTAGGAGGCCGCGTGGGCGCGCAGCTCCGGCCTTGCCCTTGACGCCACTGCCGGGGGGGAAGCCATGGCGGCGCTGGCGGTCTTTCTGCGTGGCGGTGTCCGCGGGTGCGGGGCTCTGCTTCGGAGGCCACTGCAGGTAAGCGGGGCTCGACGCTGGCGGGGCTCCGGAGGCCTCTGCCGCGGCGCCCTCAGCCTCCCGCCTAGGCCCGGGGAGAGCCCCGAAGTCGCTCCGCGCCCCGCACGCTCCCGAGGCCTGCGCGTCCGCGAGCCCGGGGCCTGCGCGTCCGCGAGCCCGGGGCCTGCGCGTCCGCGAGCCCGGGGCCTGCGCGCCCGCGAGCCCGGGGCCTGCGGCTCGGGCCGGCGCGGACGCGCCTGCACCTGCGCGCCCCGAAGGCCCGCGTTGGCGCTCGCCCAGCCTCACCTGCCCGCTGCGGCCTTGGCCCTTGCCAGGCCCCGTTCACCTTTGCTGTGACCTTTTCCCCGGGCCTCCCCCAAATCGCGTGCACCTTGTTGTCGGTGCCTTTGTTCGTGCGGTCGGTGAGGACGTCTTACCGGGCACAGTTAGCCGGGGACGCCCTTGTACACGGAAAGCTGGGGTGGTGTGCGTGTGCGCCTCACTGGTGCCTGTACTGGGGCTTGAACTCAGGGCCTCGCACACTCCAGCCATGCACGTCTCATGCATTTTGCTCGTTAATTGGAGATGAGGTTACATGGATTTTTCTGTTCCAGTTGGCTTTCAAGTGCAGTCCTCCAGATCTCAGTCTCCTGAGTAGTTAGGATGACAGGCTTGAGCCACTGGTGTCCGGAAATTGGTGTTGTTTTTTTTTTTCATTATAGAGTTGGGCAACAATTCATTCATTCCATAAACTAGGATAAGTGTTCCCAGGAAAGATGAGGTTTTGTTGCATATATTACATGTATGTATGAATGTTTTTGGAGTCAGGCTGGCCTTGAACTCTATTCTGTAACACCACATTCTCCCCCTCTTCCCCTCCCCCAGGGACCTCCCAAAATTCCCACTGAGCGACATTCCCAGCCCTTTTCATTTTGAGACCGATCTCACTAAATTGCTCAGAGTAGCCTCAAAGTCTTGATGCTCTTGCCTTAGCATCTAGAGTAGCAGCAATTACAGGCATGCCCACCAGGCCACTCCAAGGAGCCCTTATTTTGGAGGGGAGAGAGGACATGAGGATTGAGCCCAGACCTTCCCTTGCAAGGCAAAAACACTGGACCACTTGAGCTACTCCCCTCAAGCCTCTTGCTTTATTTAGAGATAGGGTCTCTGCCCAAGGTAGCCTCAAACTCAAGATCCTCCTGCCTTTTTCCTCCCAGCTGGGATTACAGGTGTGAGCCTCATACTTGGTTTCAAGCACAGTTTCTTTGTGTGTTTGTGAGCCAGTCCAGGGGCTTGAACTCAGGGTCTGGGCACTGTCCCTAAGGTGGTTTTGTTTTTTTGTTTTCTCAAGGCTAACACTTGAGCCACAGCTCCACTTTTGGCATTTTTGGGGTAGTTAATTGGAGATACGTATCTCCTGGGCTTTCCTGTCTTTCCTGTTTTAGGGTAATAACCTGAGTGTGCAGTGTTTGCATAACTTCAGGCAAGGAGACTGGATGGGTTGTGTCAAAGTGTACATTATTTTTGGGGGAGCTGTCATAACAAAATGCCCCAGACTGTATGGTGGCTTAGAACAGCAGAAACTTACTTTTTACAGTTGTGAAGGAGACTGGCAGTCAAAAATGAAAATGCCAGCCTGGTTGGGTAATAGTCTTTTTTTTTTTTTTTGGTCCGGTTGTGGGGCCTGAACTCTGGGCCTAGGCGCTGTCCCTCAGCTCTTCAGCTCAAGGCTAGCGCTCTACCACTTGAGCCACAGTGCCACTTCCGGCTTTTTTCTTTTTGCTTATGTGGTGCTGAGGAATCGAACCCAGGGCCTCAGGCATGCAAGGCAAGTGCTCTACCACTGAGCCACCTTCCCAGCCCCTGGGTAATAGTCTTCTTGGCTGTGTGTATTGGGGTGGGGGGCGGGAGGGAGGGTGGGAGAGGAGAGAGAGAGGTAGAGGCAGGCAGACATGTGCTTGTGCCTAGGATTTTCTGTTTTGTTTTTTTTTCCTGACCTTTACTCTGTATCCGACACCATTTCTAGCTCCTCTTCTGTGCTTTGATCCTGTAGCATTCCAGTCCTTTTCTTCCTTGTCCCTCTGTTGGGGATCCAGCCCAGAGCCTGTGCAGGCTACAAGTATTTCCACAGTCCTCCTTCTGTTTGTTTGTTGTTGTTTTTTTTTTTGCCAGTCCTGGGGTTTGAACTCAGGGACTGGGCACTGTCCCTGAGCTTCTTTTGCTCAAGACTTAGCACTCTACCACTTGAGCCACAACACCACTTCTGGCTTTTTCTGTTTATATGGTGCTGAGGAATCAAACCTAGGGCTTCATGCATGCAAGGCAAGCACTCTACCACTAAGCCACCTTCCCAGCTCTGTTCTGGTTCTTTTAGCGTTTATAGTGTTTAGGAAGACACAAGAGGTGAATGGAGAACTATGGGAACATGTGGGTGATCTTCAACATGGTCAGTTTAAAGAAATGTCACAGAGTTTTCTAGAGTCCTCCATCTCCACATAGTGCCTTTCTCCTGTTTCAGTCTGTCTCTGTGTCCAATCTCCCTCCCCTCTTTGTTTTGATGGCATACTTGAGTTTGAATTTAGGGCCTTACACTCATTTGGCTTGCTAGCTTAGATAGTACTCTACCAGTTGAACCATACCTCCAACCCCCAACTTTCCCTTTTTATAAGGACACCTATCAGGTTGGAATAGAGTCCACTGTAATGACCTCATCTTAACCTCTGTAAACACCCCATTTCCAAATAGGGTTAGCATTTCCTTTAGGGAAGACACAATTCAAACTAACACAATTCAACAGTCTGCCAGACAGTGCCAGAAGTTAACATAGCAGAGTGATTACACAAGATTTTTAACAGAAGGACTTTATAAAATACATAAAATGAACATAGATGTAAATGTTGGTTAAGATGAGCATAATTACTTGAGACGTTTATAAAGACATGAAGATAGGTTTGAGATGTCATGGGTTTACGAAAGAAAATTCTGATTTCTTTGTACAGATAATATGCATAAACACAAAGTAATCTGAGTGTTACTGCCAAGTCCTCTTTAGTTGAAAAGTTTAGAAATGATTTGCTTTCCCCAAATACTTTCTTGATAATGGTTCATTTTCTAATTTGTTGGACTGATTTTCAGTTATTTTCACAAATGTTATGTTTTTTGTTGTTTTGTCAATCTCCGTTCCTTGGCTTTTGCTCAAGGCTAGCGCTGTACCACAGCTCCACTTCCGGTTTTCTAGTGGTTAATTGGAGATGAGTCTCACACACTTTCCTGTCTGGGCTAGCTTCAGACTGTGATCTTCAAATCTCAGCCTCTGAGTAGCTAGGATTTCAGTCATGAGCCACTGGCGCCAGCTGAATTTTTTTTCTTATGCCAGATACCAGTGGCTCACACCTGTAATCCTAGCTACTCAGGAGGCTGAGCTCTGAGGACTGTGGTTCCCAGTCAGCCCAGGTAGGAAAGTCTTATGAAACTCATATCCAGATAAGTGCCAAATTGGGGCTGGGAAGGTGGCTCAGTGGTAGAGCGCTTGCCTTGCATGCCTGAGGCCCTGAGTTCGATTCCTCAGCACCACATAAGCAAAAAGAAAAAAGCTGGAAGTGGAGCTGTGGCTCAAGTGGTAGAGTGCTAGCCTTGAGCTGAAGAGGGACAGCACCCAGGCCCAGAGTTCAGGCCCCACGACCGGACCCCCCCAACAAACAAACAAACAAACAAACAAACAGATAAGTGCCAAAAAAGCCAGAGGTGGAGGAGCTATGGCTCAAGTAGTAGAATGCTGTAGCCTTAAGCATAAAAGCTCAAGGATAGTGCTTCAGGCTCTGAGTTCAAGCCCTAGGACACACACACACACACACACACACACGCACGCACGCGCGTACACGTCACCAACTGGGCTGGTGGCTAGTGCATGTAATCCTAAATACTCAGGGATCTCAGTTCGAAGCCAGCTTGGGCAGAAAAGTTGGTGAAACTCCATCAGCAGAATGTTATATTTGAGGTATAGTTCAAATGATAGAACATCATCTATGAACAAAAAGCCAAACAAGACTTTAAGGCCCTGATTTCAAGCCTCAGTACTGGTGCACACACAAATTGTCACCATCCACATTCTTAGGCAGCGAAGGATATAAACGTGACAATGTACTACTCTGAGGAAAAAGAGCAGTTGTCTTAAGTTCCTAAATTTCAGTGTAGAAGCCCAGTGGAGGCTCTGGAGTTAGTTGGCTAAGTAGCTGTGTGTGTGTGTGTGTGTGTGTGTGTGTGAATAAATTTCTTACACAGATGTATATTATGGTTATGCATGTGCTTACATGGCGCCTGTGTTTGTACACAGATAGGTATTTAACAATGTTATTTTGGGAGCTGGCTCTATGGTTTTCAGAGACATCTCCAAACCTAAGGCTCTGGTTCAGGGTCTGTGAAGTGTTTATTTGCCTTTGCCATACATTGTTGACCTTGCCCAGAGCCAACTGTGGTCAAGGGGAGAGGCAGAAGCCATTTCCAAGTGGACGGACAGTAAACAGGAAATATAGGCAACTGCTGGAGCTAAGTGAGGCGGCTCAAGTTCAGTGCAAGTGTGGGAGATGTTGACTTGCTTAGTGTTTTCAGGTGGGAGGAATCCCAGTCTGTTTGCATGCTCACAGAATGATCCAGAAGTGTAAGGGAGGAAGAGGTAGGGGAAGTGAGGATGCTTGTGGGTGTGCCTCTTCGCAAAGGCAACTGCAGATCTGATCCAGAACGAAGTGGAGATGGGCCAGCAGTCCGCAGCAAAACAAAACAAAGCCACAACAAAAACAAAACCCCAGGATTGTCTGCCCTAGCTGGCTTTGGGCCTTCATTCTCAGATCTCAACCTTCTGAATAGTTAGGACCACAGGTGTGAGACACTGGTGCCCTACCATGTAAGAATTTTATATTCAAATTTAGATCACAGATAACGAAAGGAAGAGTGTTTTTTGTTGTTGGTTGTGGGGTTTGAATTCAGGCTGCGTGTTGTCCCTGGGCTTTTCTACTCAAGGCTAGCACTCTACCACTTTGAGCCACAGCTTCACTTCTGGTTTTCTGGTGGTTAATTGGAGATAAGTCTCCCAGGCTCTCCTGCCTCTGCTAGCTTTGAACCCAGATCCTCAGATCTCAGACTCCTGAGTAGCTAGGGTTGCAGGTGTGAGCATCAATGCCCAGCTAAAGGGTGTACTTCTTTCTTCTACTTTTTTTTTTTGTCAGCCATGGGGCTTGAACTCAGGGGCCTGGGCGCTGCCCCTGAGCTTCTTTTGCTCAAGGCTAGTGCCCTACCACTTGAGCCACAGCTCCACTTCTGGCTTTTTTCTGTGTATGTGGTACTGAGGAATCAAACCCAGGGCCTCATGCATGCTAGCAAGCACTCTACCACTGAGCCCCATTCCCAGCCCGAGGAGTCCATCTACTGAGCAGACGTGCCTGGCCCACGTGTGCACACGTATGTCTACTGGCCAGTAGTACATACAGTCACTTGAGTGGATATGGGAAGCTGAGGGAAAACAAATACATGTTTTCCTAATCTAATGACCAGCTCTAAGTAGTACAGATACAGATTTAGTTTCTGTTCAGAGTCTGAAGGAACACAGGTTAGTGTAACAGCAACAAATAGCAGATGTTGGGTTAACATGAAATTTGAATGTGGAACTTCTGCCGGTCTGAGGCACTTCAGCGGGACCCCAGAATCTGAAGATCTCTGGTAGAGGATGCACAACTGTGAAGAGGACATTAAACAGTAACCATATCAAGATCGACTTACCTTTATTTCTTCATACTAGCGTTGGAAAGATTGCCTTGGATGCTGCCCTCATGTGGCTGTTCTCGTTCTTCACTTACTTGTGCAATCTACTTAGTTTCTGACTGCACAAGCTGCTGCTTTTGAGAGTTTTTATGCTTTCTGACATCATCATAGAAACTTACCTGTACTTTGTTCAGTGTAAATAGTCCAGTTTCACATCACCTCGGTCTCTGAACTTTACCCTATATTTTCAGAATGTCTCTTGGCATTTGTTCCAAATAACACCATGGAAAGAATTGTTTATTCTTCCTGCTTCTGTTAGAGATCATACTCGTGCACGTGCTAAGCTTCTTTCTCTCTCTCTCTCTCCCTCCCTCCCTCTCCCTCTTTCCCTCCCTTTCTTCTTCTTTCTCTTCCATTTGTGTGTGACTATAGCAGGGCTTGAACTCAGGACCTCCTGTTCTCACTTGGATTTTCTGCTCAAGGCTGTTTTCTACCACTGAACTGCACCTTTACTTCTGGCTTCTCGCTGATTAGGAATAAGAGTCTCTTAGATTTGTCTATTCAGGCCGGCTTCAAAACGCATTCCTTGGATCTCAGCCTCTAGAGAAGCTAGGATTATATGGGCTGACTTCTTTCTTTGTAGATGGGGAGAAATACCAGATTTTTACTTAAAAATATTTTTTAAACAGAGATAATATTTTCTTGGAGACCCTAAGATCATGTAATTTAGAATTTTGAATTCAACCACATTTTCCTCAGGTAAAGTAAGGAGGATCGTGAGTTCCAGGCTGACCTGGGCCATGGAGCAAGTTGCAGGCCAGCCCATGTGACCTAATGAGACCCTGTGTCACAAACAAAACAAAAACCCAACAGCCACATAAGGAAACTACATTTTAGGAAGTAAAGACTTTTTTTTTTGTCGGTCGTGGGGCTTGAACTCTTGGCCTTAGTGCTGTCCCTCAGCTCTTCAACTCAAGGCTAGTGCTCTACCAACTTGAGCCACAGTGCTATTTCTGGCTTTTTCTGATTATGTGGTACTGAGTAACCGAACCCAGGTCCTAAGCATGCAAAGCAAGTGCTCTACCAGCTCTTAAAAAGTGTTCCCAGTGTTCCCAGCTCTTAAAAAGACAAATTTTAAAGTGATAAACTCATGAAACAAGTTAAAATGTTCATTTCCATTGAACCAAAAAAGTAATGTTTTTAAGTCATTTCTTTCTGATCTACAGAAGTTTAATTTATATGTAGACACTAGAAAACTTGGAAACAGAGCCTAAAAAAATGTAGGAAGAAGTTGCCATAATCCATTACTGACAAGTATAAAATTATATTGATATTACATTATAACACCTATTTCTTACAGGAAATAAGATACACGGAGCGCAACTATGTATCAAAACCTACTTTAAATGTAAGTACCCATTTAATTGTGCCTTGAAATTTCAAGAATTTACAAGCAAACATGTATTTATACCTTGGGAGTATTTGAAGGTTAACACATAATTTACACAGTGGTTAGCAAAGCTAGCTATTCATACCTGAAGCTCCTACATTAATCTTTTTATAGCATTTTCCTTACTATCTCACTAGGAAATGTGGTCTTTGGCTGTGTCCCATCTTGCATATGCATCTCCATTTCTAGCCCAGAGTTCCCGTCAGTAGCAGAGCTTTCGGTTGGGTTGTTTGTTATGTAGTCAGCAAGGGTAAAGTGAGCATTTCTTAAATTTCTTCTTTTTGCTGGTCCTGGGGCTTGAACTCAGGGCCTGGGCACTGGCCTTGAGCCTCTACCAACTGAGCCACAGTGCTACTTCCTGCTTTTTCTGTTTATGTGGTACTGAGGAATCAAACCCAGGGCTTCATGCATGCTAGGCAACCGTTCTACCACTAAGCCACATTCCCAGCCCCCATTTCTTAAATTTCCGGACTGAGTAATAGAATTAAAACTTCAGGTTCTTACCTTCTGACCTCAACCTGCTGAAGAGAGCTGATCTTTATATAGAGTTCATTTGTCTAGGTTTTCTTTTCTGTTTTGTAGTATTGACCATCAAACTTAGTCTTGCTATGCATGAACTCTACCACTGCGCTGTACCTAGACCTTGTCTCTTCTATTAGGTCTTACATCACACAGCACTGACATGTTTTAAAGCTGTTCAAATCTTGTTGAATTATTGATGACAATTATTCATGGAAATAATGTTTTTTATAGGACCATGTATGAATTATGCTGATGTAATGAAAGCTGTGTCCTCTAGTACTTCTGACCATCTTGTGTCTTGCCAGGAAGTGGTTATAGTCAGTGCTACCAGAACACCCATTGGATCCTTTCTAGGCAGCCTTTCCTCTCTGTCAGCCACCAAGCTTGGTTCTGTTGCAATCAAGGAAGCTGTTGAAAAGGCAGGTCAGTGCTTGCTTTGCCTTTTCTGTTAAAGGGGCACTATTATCTCCTACTGACTGTGTATATCTTTTCGAAGTGATAGAATGCTAATTTCTGAATTCTTTCCGTTCAGTGGTAGGGCCATAAGTTCCAGCCCCAGCATCTCTCCCCCCTGTAATCATTCCGACTATGTAACCTCATGCAGTTTGTTATCATTAATTATTAAATCGAGCAAAAATAGTGAAATACCCTTTTGGTGTTTGTAGGGATCCCAAAGGAAGAAGTGAAAGAGGCCTACATGGGAAATGTAATACAAAGCGGTCAAGGACAAGCCCCTGCCCGACAAGCAGTACTGGGCGCAGGTACCCTAACACATTGCTCCTTTCATACTTCCGTTGTTTGTGTCAAGATGAAGCCATTTGAGATTAAATAAAATTGTAAATGTGCAACACTGATTAACCACAGACAGGAGAAAATTTGCAAATTACAGTAACATGCTCTTTTCTGTCACTGCAAATTCTGTTGCTGTGCTTTGGGAGTATCTGTTCAAAAATCTGACTTCACATTGGTTTCAGGCTTGCCAATTTCTACGCCATGCACCACCGTCAACAAGGTTTGTGCGTCAGGAATGAAGGCCATCATGTTGGCCTCTCAAAATCTTATGTGTGGACACCAGGTGAGAAGCACATTCTTCATCTACTAATTAAAGTAAAATGTAGGGCTGGGAAGGTGGCTCAGTGGTAGAGTGCTTGCCTTGCATGCTTGAGGCCCTGGGTTCGATTCCTCAGCACCACATAAGCAAAAAGAAAAAAAGCCAGAAGTGGCGCTGTGGCTCAAGTGGTAGAGCGCTAGCCTTGAGCTGAAGAGCTGAGGGACAGCGCCCAGGTCCAGAGTTCAGGCCCACGACTGGACCAAAAAAAAAAAAAAAAAAAGTAAAATGTAATCCTAAAGGATCCTAAAAATTGAAGCATATTCATATTTACGCTTTAGAAATCAGAAGTTTTCTTTCTGTTGGTTGTGGGACTTGCAGGCCTGGGCGTTCTCCCTCAGCTTTTCTGCTCAAGGCTAGCGCTCTACCTCTCTGAGCCATAGCTTCACTTCTGGATTTTGAGTGGTTAATTGGTGATTAGAGTCTCATGGGAACTTTTCTGCCTGGGCTGGCTTTGAACCACGATCCTCAGATCACAGCCTTCTGAGTAGCTAGGATTATAGGTGTGAGCCACTGGCACCCAGCGAAATGTTTTCTTGTCTCAGATCGTCAGGAGTATCTGCATTGAAGAAGAGATCAAAATGAGGGTGCAAATGTATTGCCAGGTTGGCAACACACAGTTGTAATCCCAGCACTGGGGAGGCTGAGGCAAGAGGATTTTGAGTTTCGGGCTAGGCTGGGGCTACATAGCAAGACCTTGCCTTAAAAAAAAACAAGCCGGGCATTGCTTGCTCATGCCTGTAATCCTAGCTACTCAGGAGGCTGAGATCTGAGGATCACGGTTCAAAGCCGGCCCGGGCAGGGAAGTCTGAGAAACTCTTATCTCCAATAAAGCACCAGAAAACCGGAAGTGGCGCTGTGGCTCAAGTGGTAGAGTGCTCACCTTGAGCTGAAGAGCTGAGGGACGGCGCCCAGGCCCAGAGTTCAAGCCTCACAACTGACAAAAACAAACAAAAACTTAAATGAGTAGTTTTTGCTAAGGTATTGTATAACTCTAAAGAGACTTACTCAGATGGTACAGGTCTATACTTAGGAGGCAGAAGACCAGCCTGGACTAGGTAAATGAAACCCTATCTCAAAAACAAAATATAGACAAACTGTAGGGCTAGGCCATGGCTCAAGTGGTAGAATGAATACCTTGTAAGCCTGAAGCCCTGAGTTCAATGTCTGGTACTATTAAAAAAGAGAAGTCTTATTCTGAGGTTTTTTAGGTGATTAAGTTAGTGTTGACACCTTTATGCCCAGATGAGGAAGAGTAGACTAAAGGTAGCCACAAACACAAAATTTTAGCACCAGGATGAGAAAGAAATCTACTTCTATTGAGTGCATGCCAACCTATCAGGATTGTGTGGTATTTGCACTATCTCATAAGAATGCAAATATGTATATGTGGCCAAAGCTATCACTCCTGCTCTGCTTTGTTTGCAATTTGAAAGCCAGCCAAAAAGGAGAGAAAAAGAGGATGGAGTGATACCCTGAGCTACTGCACTCTAAAAGCACTGACTCCACATGCTAAAACCTCAAATGGGACAGAGGTAGTAATCCAGCTCTCCCTCTCCCTTGCCCTCTCCCAGCACCTCAGTATCAGCAGGCTGAATGCCCTGCCACTGGAAAGCAGAGGAACTTTCAAGTTGTCAAACCTCTGGGTCCCACTTAATGTCTTGATGAGTTAGCACCAGGAACTGTAGTCTATTGAGATGAGTGACATTCTGTATGTCCCTGGATATATCCAGATGGGCTCCTGTTGTTCAGTGTTAAATATTGCTGTACACACACACACAGGCTGTTGTTGTGGATCTGACTCCTAAGTACTAACTTCAAATCTTAGTTCTGCCCTTTATTAGCTGAGTACCTATAGTGAGTCTCTAGAATGGTGATTGAACATCCTTATCAGGTCTGTAGGGGAAATTTCTAGGAGTAGCTTGGTGGGAGGATTCAAAAATTTCCATACTTTCTAATGCTTTTTATGAAGTTGTACTGGCTCTGCTTTTCAAAAGTTGTGTGAGCCCATTTGTCTACTTCTTCACCAACAAATCTTTGCCAAACTAGTAGATGGAAAATGGTAAAGGCTTGTTTAAATGTTCCAAAATGAAGTGACATCTTGGTTTATTGTGGTTCTTTGTACAACAGTGAAATACTTCTTTTTGATGAAAGATTCTGAGAATTGGGCTGGGAAGGTGGCTCATTGGTAGAGCGCTTGCCTTGCATGCATGAGGCCCTGGGTTTGATTCCTCAGCACCACATAAGCAAAAAGAAAAAAAAAAAGCTGGAAGTGGCGCTGTGGCTCAAGTGGTAGAGCGCTAGCCTTGAGCTGAAGAGCTGAGGGACAACACCCAGGCCCAGAGTTCAGACCCCACGACCGGACCCCCCCAAAAAAAAGATTCTGAGAATTGATTTCAATTTTGTATACATGTTTTGTATTTAGAAATTTGTTATAAATTATATAACATAATTTGTTATAAATTTATAATGAAAGTGAATTTCTTTCATTGACTTTAGGAAAAGTTTAAGTATCAAATCTGTGTGCCAGGGCCCCAAGGAGCCTAGTCGCACAGGAAGCTTTGACATGCACTCATAGCTATGCCACAGACATTTATTAACTAAGAGCACCTTATGGTAACTAGGAAATGATTCCAGAAAGGTGTAGAAATAGGTGCACATGCATAGTTTTTTTTTGTTGTTGTTGTTGGTTGTGGGGCCTAAATTCTGGGCCTGGGCACTGTCCCCCAGCTCTTCAGCTCAAGGCGAGCACTCTACCACTTGATCTACAGCACCATTTCCGGTTTTCTGGTGGTTTATTGGAGATAAGAGTTTCACGGACCGTGCTGGCTTTGAACCTCGATCCTTAGATCTCAGCCTCCTGAGTAGTTAGGATTATAGGCGTGAGCCATCGGCGCCCGGCTGATTTTTTTTTTTAAACACTAAGTTCCTGAGTTCTTGGAAAGTGTACAATGATGAATTCTAGCCAGAAGGACTCAGATGAGTGGAGATGGTGTTTGGTAGAGAAAAGGTTGCACATCACAAGGTCAAGTGGAAAATGACTACACCTTTCCAGGAAGAGTATTTCAGTCAAGAAAGCAGCATTATTTCCGTGAACCAAGTTCTTCTCATCCTTGAGAAGACGTTACATTTTTTAGCAGTATCAATGAAACACAAGATTATGATCTTACATGAAAAGATTTTTTTTTCATTTTTAATAGTCTGCTTATTATAATCTTAATTCTCATTACACATTTTGTACCATTTGTCAGGGTCAAGGAGTAAGACTTGGCATTGGTCTAGCCAATGCAACTTGAGTTCTAATGCTAGCTATGTAAAGACTAGAGTGTGTTTGCAAACCCTTGAACTGATGCCATCTTGCATTGCTGAGCAGGACGTGATGGTGGCTGGGGGCATGGAGAGCATGTCCACCGTTCCATACGTGATGCCCCGCGGAGCCACACCCTACGGAGGTGTGAAACTTGAAGATCTGATTGTGAAAGATGGGCTAACTGATGTCTACAATAAAATTCACATGGTAAATGCTGTTTTTTAATAGAGGGTGCCATGTAATACATACTTGATTTTTCTTAATATATTTTAGAAACTGAACTAAATACAGAGTGGTTGACGTTAGCCTTTCATGTTAGGGAAATATTTTTTTCTGTCTATTGTATCAGCATAGCTCAGATGTTGAAAAAATTGCCCCTCACTTGAACAGGGCACTATCTGACTCCCAAAATAGCCAGTATTTGAAGGTAAGGCACGAGAAGTTATCTAGTTAGTATATAAGAGAGAGAAGAAGGTTAAGAAAGTAAAATTAATTGCCAGTTTACCAAATTATGTAAACTTGACTGGTTTATAAAAACATCTCAAATGATCAGGGCAACTGTGCTGAGAATACTGCAAAGAAGCTAAGCATTTCCCGAGAAGAACAGGATGCGTACGCCATCAGCTCCTACAAGCGAAGTCAAGCAGCGTGGGAAGGTGGGAAGTTTGGAAGTGAAATCGCACCCGTCACAGTGACAGTAAAAGGTAGACCATGCTGCAAAGTACATTTTTTAAATCCCTTCCCCCTTTTGACTGAATGATTTTTGCTGAGTTTATGCTGGTTTTACATTTAAATTTTAGGTAAACCAGACATAGTGGTAAAAGAAGATGAAGAATATAAGCGGGTTGACTTTAGTAAAGTTCCAAAACTGAAGACGGTTTTCCAAAAAGAAAATGGTAAGTAGGAAGCTATCAGATAGAATAAATTGAGTTAATATACTGTATTTGTTCTTGGACTTGCCTAAGGGCTAAAAAAGTAACTGTACAAAACATCTGTATATTATCTCAAACTCAAATGAAACTAACAAAATATTAGGATTATTTTTCACATGCAGGTCATATCCAAGTATGGGTAACTGAAAGTTGGGTTGGGTTTGTATGGCATTTTTGCCAGTCCTTTGGTTTGAACTCAGGCCTGGGCACTGTTCTTGAGCTTCTTTTGCTCAAAGCTAGTACTCTACCACTTGAGCCACATCACCACTTCTAGCTTTTTGTTTATGTGGTACTGAGGAATCAAACCCAGGGCAAGCCCTCTACCACTAAGCCACATTCTCAGCCCTCTAAGTCCCTATTAATGACTAGGATGATAGCTAGGGCCTGGCATAGTAGTAAGTCCTCAATAACTGTTGACGGTTTATACAAACGGGATGTAAATGTTCTAAGTATCTTTATGTGAGGAAGGGTGCTGGAGATGAAACCTGAGGCCTCACATAGGTTAGGCAAATACTCTACCTTTGAGTTAAACCCCTAGCCCTAAATTTCTAAATCAACTGTTGGGAAATCCAAGGAGCAATAGAACTTCTGTTTACTGGGCTATATAGAGGTTATTTTTACCTTCATTATCTGTAGAGAGTTTTGGTAATCTGAAGTTCTTTCCACTTTTCAAATTCAAGTGTAGGGTAGGCCAATCTTTATTGTTTTTAGCATCATATAAAATTTTTACTGCAAGAGTATGTTTTAATAATTTTAGTATCAGTCTATTATTTAGTTTTTAAAAAATAAGAACTTAATGATATATTATAAAATTCTTAAAAGTATGCTTCATACACTAAATGGATTGGCATCTAAAAAGTATTTTACCTAGAACTTGTACAATACAGTCTTCTCAGTAACTTCCAGAACTTCTTACAAAATATCCTATTTTAGGACACAAAGAAAATCTTAGCAAATATAAGAAAATTGAAATAACTTCTCTGACTATAGTGGAATTAGACTAGAATTCAAACAACATATACTACAGAAAATATGCAGACAACCGATTGTTGAATAACTGCTGGGTTAACTGAAGAAAGGAGGGAAATAAAAAGGTTACTGGGCTGGGTTTTGGGGGCTCACGCCTGTAATCCTAGCTACTCTGGAGGCTGAGATCTGAGGATCATGGTTCATAGGCATCTTGGGCAGGAAAGTCTGTGAGACTCTTAGCTCTAATTAACCACCAGAAAGCTGGAAGTGGCGCTGTGGCTCAAGTGGTAGAGCACTAGCCTTGAGCTGAAGAGCTGAGGGACAGCGCTCAGCTCTCCCTCATGCCATAATGCATGTGTGTCTGAGCCAACTTTGAGAAAATTGCTGCTAAACATAAGGCCCTCTTACACTGTGTAGTACTTTGATACACCCCCAGGGCAAGAACCATGTCCATCCATAGTTGTCATACACTTGGTAACCCAGACAATGCTCAGGTATTTGCTAAGTTGAACCAGATGAATCCAGTATGGAGCCCTGTTGATTCCCCCCCCCCCCCCCCCCCATGCCACTGTTTTCAGGCACAGTGACAGCTGCCAACGCCAGCACCCTGAATGACGGAGCTGCTGCTGTGGTCCTGATGACGGCAGATGCTGCTAAGAGGCTCAATGCTAAGCCGCTGGCTCGAATAATAGGTAGGGGCATCCTGACCTGGGTTGTTCCTAGACTTCTACCTGGAGAAGGAATCGCTTCTCCTGTCTCCAGGTTTTACTTTGGGGCAGAATTTTACTGATACTCGAACAGCTGTTAAGACATAGATTATAACTTAAAACAAAGCATGTTTTCTACTTTACATGAGTAGGAGAGAAGGTCCATGGTTTTGCCTAGAAAGGCAGTCAGCTAGAGTATGGGAGTAGAAGCCTAAAAATATAGCAAAAAAAACCCCAAAACAAAAAACCCTTACATGCTCAGTACTTACTGATTCTGTAGCTGAAGACAAGCCTGTTTTTGCCTTTAGAATCTAAGTAGAATTAGAGAGGGGTCAGAAATAAAAGCATGCAATAAAGCTTGGTAGGCTTTTACGTACTTTATACAAGTTACAAGTAAGGTTATGGGTGCTGGTACAATGCTTTAACACTATTCTTTTGTGCAGCATTTGCTGATGCTGCTGTAGACCCTATTGACTTCCCAGTTGCACCTGCCTACGCCGTCCCTAAGGTGAGAAAAAGTGAGCGCCTGCATCCATCCATTGTGCCCTCTGGTTTGGTTTTATTGCAGTTTGCAAAGGAGATAGCTGGATTTCAAATGTTGCCACTCCTGAAAGCAGTAAGAATACAACAGCACAGAACAGCCTGCTCTGTTTATCTGCTCTTCTTTAGAGTAGATAAACAGTATCTAACTGAAGTGCTTGAAAGTGATACTGAATGCACACACTGGAACAGAAAGCACACAGGAAAAGTCACTGTGACAAAGGAATGAAAATGGTCCCCAACAGAAAACTCCCAGAGGCATCTCCATTCTGAAAAGAGACTACTAGCAGCAGGGATTTAGAGCAAGGAGTATCTGAGACAATAAAACTCTACACATTCCCAGTGGTGCGGAAGGGCAGAGGCAAGTCTGTACAAGGGATAAAAGGAGGTGTTGAGGTAGTTGGGAAGGTTCTAGCTAAGATCATGTAAGTCTGCAACAATTACATGCTTCCAAGAGGGCCTTACCCTGAGACCTGGACTTCTGAGACCAGCACCAGAAGGAAGAAGAATGGGTGGAAAAGTGTAACACACACACACACACACACACACACACATCCCTACCCCTGCATAGAGGTAACAGGATCTCAGGAATATAGAAAGTGGATGCAATAGCTGGGCCCCAGTGGCTCAACGCCTGTAATCCTAGCTACTCAGGAGGCTGAGTGAGATCTGAGGATCATGGTACAGCCCAGGCAGGAAAGTCTGTGAGACTCTTATCTCAGATAAACTACCAGAAAACTAGAAGTGGCGCTGTGGCTTTAGAGTGCAAGCCTTGCGTTTAAGAGCTGAGGGATAGTGCCCATGTCTAGAGTTCAAGTCCCACAAACGACCCCCCGCCCCCAAAGAAAAGAAAGAATGCAGAGTAAAAAGCAATATGGTGAAAAATTTTAAAGGGCACTACCAATTTATAAAGGAGTTAATGTAAAGACAGCCACTAGCACAAAAATGGTGAGGAACTGCTCAAACATCTTATGAAAACCTTTATACCAGGTATTGGGGGAAGCTAAAATAACGGGAAATAAAAAGGATTTTGAAATTTAAAAAAATCTCCATTTATCTTTGTATTTTGACAGGAATTTGGTTTTGAACTCAGGGCCCTGTGCTCACTAGGCAGTTGCGCTACCATTTGGGCCGGGCCTTCAGACATTATTTTGCTCTGGCTATTTTTGAGATTTGCTTTTTGGCCAGGATGGCCTAGATAGACTATTTATGCTTCCCACTGTACCTGAGGTGATAGGCACGTGCATGGGCTGCCATGCCCGAACTTTCAAAAGGTATGTCAGTTTCATTGTGTTAATGCCAGATACTACTGAAGCCACTTGATAGCCTGGGATTTGGGCAACACAGGCTTTTACTTCAGCGTAAATTACTAATATTAGCACAGATCACACAGTGTACTTCACAATAATTTGGAGGGTTATAGGATGCCATGATTAACTTTTCCCATGAGACGGGTTCTCCCAAATGTTTTTTTTTTTTTGGCCTCAGTTGATTGAAATCCTCCCCAAGGGACTAGCATAATAAATGTGAACTACCTCTTAACTAAGGAAATGTATGTTTAAATAACTAATGGCAAGGGAATAGAAGCCAGCACTGTAGGAGCTCCAGAAAACAATGAAAATGTGCTAATTATTTGAATATCATTTGTCTCTTAAAAAATTTAGGTTCTTAAAGATGCAGGATTGAAAAAAGAAGACATTGCAATGTGGGAAGTAAATGAAGCCTTTAGTGTGGTGGTGCTAGCCAACATTAAGATGCTAGATGTGGACCCCTCAAAAGTGAATCTTCATGGAGGAGCAGTCTCTCTGGGGCATCCGATTGGGTAGGTAAACAATTATGTCTAGGTTAACAGCTAGGTAATTTGCTAAGGCAAAGACCATTTCTATCTCAGTATCATACCTACAGTAAAAAGAACTAAAGATCTATGCTTAGTCTTTTAGAAGAGCCATGACCCTGAAATAAATCTCCTACATTGAAGAAAAGCAGTTTAATGGAGCTGTAAGGAGTGGCTAATTTTTTCAAGAAGTTGGCTTGGACTAGCAATATTTCATTGTTAGCCGTAAATTCTGTTCGCCATTAAAGAACTGAATGCTTTCTGAATCCTAGGATGTCTGGAGCCCGGATTGTTGTTCATTTGGTCCATGCCTTGAAGCAAGGAGAATTTGGTCTTGCCAGTATTTGCAATGGAGGAGGAGGTGCTTCTGCTATACTGATTGAGAAGCTGTAGACAACCCTATGTGACGAAAAACTTTGTAAAATCAATGGCATCCTGGGTTAGTAGCTTGTATTGATAATGATTTCATTTTTTATTATTTTCTATATTTTTAAAAACAAAGTGAACCCCATCCTGAAAGTTACTGAAATTACAAATAAATTTTTTCTTCTGTTTTGAGTTTTTCTGATCCTTTAAAATCAAATATTTGTGCATAATGAACCTATACTAGATAAAATACCAGTATATAATTATGAGAGAATGAATCATTTCTGTAGGTGACAGATGTTAAATTATTTGCAAGGGTAAGCAACTCTTTTTTGACAAGGGCCGTTACTTATAACTTCAGCCAAGAGCCTATAGCCTACATTTATGAAATTTGTGTTGAGAAAATTTCAAGTCACATGTGAAGTCCTTGGTAGGATTAAACCAAATGGTTTCAGAGGTCTTTATGACTTGCAGACATTAAAGTGAGAACTAGCTCTTGTGGGCAAATAAGCAATGGCACATATCGCTAGTCAAGCCAAACCAGTGTGTACAACAGCATTCCAAATGCTCAGTCTGGATTAGGGGAAATTCCTTAGAACCTCAACATTCAGGGGTGGGAGTAACAAGAGGCAGAACAAAGTTCTGGGACTTGAGCTTTTCATTAATGACAATGGTGGAGATAAATGGAGAGACTGACACATTGCCTGTAAAAGATGTTTTTGTTGTTGGTCTTGGGGCTTGAACTCTGGGACTGGAACTCTGGGATTGGGTGCTGTCCCTCAGCTCTTCAGCTCAAGGCTAGTACTCTCACTTGAGCCACAGTGCCACTTCCAGTTTTCTGGTGGTTTACTGGAAATAAGAATTTCACAGACTTTCCTGCCCAGGCTGGTTTTGAACCATGATCCTCAGATCTCAGCCTCCTAAGTAGCTAGGATTACAGGCGTGAGCCCAGCTTAAAGGAGTATTTTTAATGTACAAGGGGAATTTTATTTTGTAATGTCCACAGATTTACCTCCTCTGTCAATCCCAATCTCAAGCTTCACTGTTCCATTTCCTATACATATACATAGTAGTTTGTTCACCTTCCTTCAGCCTATTTGCCTCTTCCATCCCACTAACACCCACACTCCAGAAAGGCCATGTTTCATCTTCCTAACGTGCATTTTTAAAGTACATGGTACCTGTTCAGAAGGATTTGCTGTGGTATTTCAACATGCACATATAGTACTAATCAGAGCTGACCTGTCCCCCTATTATTCAACAGCTCTTAATGGGTTTGGTCTTACTATCCCCATTCACAGATGCAATGTACTTCAGTAGTATGATCCTGGACCATTCTTCTAATCTCAAATCAATGTGTACATACATAAATGTGTAGATATTATGTATATATAATTTACACACACGAAACCTTGTTATGTTTACTATGTTTATTCTCAGGTCTACCATCCACATGAGAAAATGCACAATCTTTGTTCTTCTAAACCTGGCTTACCTTGGGTAATATGGTCTTCAGATCCATCCATTTCCCCTTAAAGGCCAGCTTCATTGTTCCTTATGAGTAATGCTCCACATTTTCTCGATTCAATCAGTTGTAGCGCATCTGGGCTGTTTCCCTCACTTGACTATTGGTGCTTCTATTATATCTTGACATACATTCCTTCACATATATGCCCAAGAGTGGTTATTACTGATCACATGGTAGATTTTTTTTCTTGAGGAACCACCTTACTGATATCCGTAGCAGTTCCATTAGTTTACCTTTCCACCAGCAGTATGAGGGTTCCTTTCCCCCTGAATCCTTGTCAGTATTAGTTGAGATTGTCTTCTTGTCATTTGGTTGGAGATGAAATCTCACCATTATTTTGTTTCTTTTATAGCCAGAGATGCTGAGCATTTCTTCATGTATTTATTGACCATTTGTACCTCTTGAAAAGTGTGTGTTCAGTTCATTTGCCCACTTATTAATTGGTTGTTCATTCTTCAGGACTTCTTTAAGCTCTCTGTCCATTCTGGTTATCAATCATTTATAGGCTGTCTCTTCATCTCTGTAACTAGAAAAAGAACAGTTTTATATAAAGATTATTCAAAATTAAGTTATGGCATATGCACTGGACATAATCAAAACAAAGCAAAAACTATGTCTGAGATTAATTTTAACAGGATTAATCATCTATGAACACAATGAGAGCCCTTACCTGAAAGGTGATTCAAGTCGTAGGGCAGCTATTTAGCAAGAGCTGGAATTCAATCAGTACTGTCAAAACAAAACCAAAAACCTAGAAAACAATCAAAGTAGTATATAAACCAACCGTGGTAGTTCACGCTTATAACCCTACTTGCAGGGGAGGCTGACACATGAGGATGACAAGTTCAAGGACACCTTTTCTCAAATCCCACATGTTAAGAGGTTTTTCTGTCCAAAAAAAAAAAATCTCACCTAACCTAAAAAAAATTCATGTAAAAATGAATAAAAATGTCCTATTTGACTTTGTTTGAAAAAGCTCAAAGTTTGAGTAGACAAATCAGCCTGGAAGAAATCGGGGAGAAAAAACATGGAGTATCAAGTAAGCAAATGGCTATAGGTTTACACAACTCAGTTTTAAGGAACAGAAGGTTGCAAAAGAAAAAAAAATTACTGCAAGAGCAGTGACTTCTAAGAGCCTGTCCCAGATTGATCTACGCAGGCTGTTACTGTATTGACTTCATACATCCTGTAAGGCAGACACTATTATTCCCAATATACAGATAAAACTAGAAAGTTTCAGTCTTAAAGACAATCTTATTAGAAGCAAATAAACTTTCACAAGCCAAATTTAATCTTTTTTTTGGTCCATCCTGGGGCTTGAACTCTGGGCCTGGGCGCTGTCCCTTAGCTCTTTAGCTGAGGCTAGTGCTCTGCCACTTGAGCCACAGCACCTAATTCCAGCCTTTTCTGTTTATGTGGTGCTGAGGAATTCAACCCAGGGCCTCGTGCATGTGAGGCAAGGACTCTGCCACCAAGCCACCTTCCCAGCCCCTACAAGCCAAATTTAGTTATTCACTAATAGAATAATAAATTCATAGGCTTAACTCAAAATGCCTTTTGTCAGTCTTGGGGCTTGAACTCTAGGCGTGGGCACTGTTCCTGAGCTCTTTAGCTGAAGGCTAGTGCTCTACCACTTGAGCCACAGCGCCACTTCTGGTTTTCTTGTGGTTAATTGGAGATGGGTCTCACGGACTTTCCTGCCCAGACTGGCATTGAACCACAATCCTCAGATATCAGCCTCCTGAGTAGCTAGATTACAGGTGTGAGCCACCAGGTGCACAGCTAATTCAAATACTTTAGTGCTAGAACAGCACCTAATTGGACAGATAGGTTTTTTTTTGTTGTTTTGTGCTGGGCACTAAACTCTGGGACTCTTGTTTGTCAGGCACTTCACTACTTGAGCCACACCTCCAGTCCTAGGTGTAACTATTTTTGCTGTAAATTCTTAAAGCACCATGAATAATGCCTAGCAGGTACAAGCCCCTGAATTCAAATCTCATAATTGCACAACAAACACACTATAAACTAAAGTCAACATTACACTTAAGTAACTTACAAAGAATGTATTACCTCAGGAGACTGAGATCTGAAAACCACAGTTCAAAGTCAGCCCAGCCAGAAAAGTCTGAGACTCTTCTCCAATAAACCACTAAAACCCAGAAGTGGAGCTGTGGTTCAAGTGGTAGAGTGCTAGATTTAAGCAAAAAGGGCCAGGGAGTTCCCAGACTGAATCCAACCTAGTTCACACACAGGCACACATGAATATATTACAGCAAAGAAAAAGAATCCTTAAATTAGTCTATATTGTGGTAAGTCAGGAGGATTACCTTTCGGGCTGGTTGTTATTAGGAAGTGTGAGGGATTTTTATGGTGCTGGCAATACTCCAGTCTTGACCTAGGTGATTATATGTATTTTTTTTTTTTTTTTTGGGTCCAGTCGTTGGGCCTGAACTCTGGGCCTGGGCGCTGTCCCTCAACTCTTCAGCTCAAGGCTAGTGCTCTACCACATGAGCCACAGCGCCACTTCCGGCTTTTTTTTTCTTTTTGCTTATGTGGTGCTGAGGAATCGAACCCAGGGCCTCAGGCATACAAGGCAAGCGGATTATATGTAATGTTTATTTATGAAAAAAATTCATTGAAGAGTTTGAGTGTAACAGTTTGGGCAGGTGTATTATATACTATACCTCTGTAAAAAAAAAAATCTGTATTATGGGAATAATATTCTCACCTAACTGCAAAAATAAAAATGGCAAATGTAAAATATCCAGCCAGTTTAGCAAGAGACTCATGAGGATGGAAGAACTACCTAACTTTTGCTACTACATGACCGTATCATTGCTTCTTGTAGTATCAGAGAACTTATATGCAGGTACTTCTAAAATCATTACTTCAACAGAATTTAAATTTGAAATATGAACATTTAATTCTAAAAACTTAATTATAAAATTTGTTTAACTCTACAGCTAATCAGTTATAGAAGATGTGAGGATTTGAAAAAATATTAACAGTAATAATAATAATGGGTATCAAACTGTGATGATTTAAGAAATGACCCAGAATACTTTATGTGCCAAAATATCTTAAGTGTGTAAACTTAATTGGCTGGCTTTCATAATTCAGAACATTCTGAGTTTCTAAAACGTCATACAATGTACCATATACCTCAGAATAGCACACTAATCAAACCCTTGCTACTTATACAACAAAATATGGATATGGAAAATGGAAAAGGCTTTAACATGTCATTTCAAGTCAGGTTATTATAGAGTGAATTTTATGTTAACTTTAAAGGAAAAAACCTTTTGAATTTTAGAATCATGAGGAAGATTATAAATCACTGAAGCATGAGTGGGAGAAAGGAAGACTTATTAATTAACAAATTGTGCCATATGGTTAGTTAGGAAAAAAGTATAATTTAATCATTTCTTCACATGAGGTAGCAAAAAAATTATACATGGATTATGAGCACTTCTAGTTTTAACAACCATAGTAAAAGCTTAGAAAGAAGCCATGTATTTGAATCAATTTCCTGTGTCAAGGAAAAAGCATATTTTACAAAGGAAATGGCATTTTGCTGAAAACTTTTTGGCAGAATTTAGCAAAACTGTACACTTCTTCATCTGGTAATTCTACTCTCTAACGTGTCTGTCTCCTAAGCACCTAG